AAATCAGGAGAATAGCTGTTGACACATTGGATGGGCTGAACAGTACCCAGTGCTTGGTGTACGGTTCAGCATAGTGATATGGTCCTGGTCTACTCCACGCCATTGTAGGGGGTAGAAATTGAAGTATTTTCAAGTGGTTTTCAATGCGATGACATAGGATGCCGATCACGGTTTAGATAAGCATACTCCATTTTGACAGTTGTAAAAGATTGGCCTTGAGAAGGAGTCACCAAAGAGACAAGATACTGGTTATTGTCAAACACCCATACAATTAAAGATGGAAATGATAAAGGGAAGTAATTTTTTAAAAAAAGTTTTATTAGGGATAACTTAATTCATAATTGATGTCATAGAACGGTATCTGACAGTATAACTGAAAATTTAATTTATGGGTTGTCCCAACAATGGCTGCCTCTCTTTGATTGTACCAGTCGTACCACGTGTAGGAGCTGTATACATAACACAATACCACAAAGGAATCCTCGGCAAACTCTTCTGAATGATGTATTTAAACAATATAAATGTTGGGGTTTTTTTTTTTTGAAAAATATATAGATGTTGATTTTGACCTTGTTATGAGAGGCTGTGAAAGGCAGACTTAGTCGGTGAGTGGTTCCAGTTGATAGGTTATATTATAATGTACCATCCCATCTCGCAGGTGTCTGACGATGCGGATGCTACATGACTAGGCTATAAATAGACTTATTCGTACCACTCACCGCTGTCCCATACCTGTGTACAGGTAGAGGATTCTATTCGCTCGTTAAAGATGAATTAGGAAAATACCTGTGTAGGTTACGTGTTACTGATGAAGATGTAAATACCTAACAGTGAAAAACTGATGTTCACTTGTGGCTTCTGGGGAAAGTTACAGAAGGTGGAAGGAAATATGAAGGAGTGGAATAAAGGGAAAGAAAAATTAATTATATATTTCAATAAATTTTCATAAACTACAGGATTTTTTAAGGAATAAAGAAAGATAAAAATATAGAGATTACAATAAGGGAAAGATGGGGGTGTAGAGGAGGGGTTTAGATTTAAGGGAAAGGAATCCATGAAAAGGAAAAACCAAAGCTCAAGTTTTGAAATGTCTGGAAATGAGGAAGAAAAGAGTGGGTTAGTCTTCATGGATATGAGAATAAGAAGGAGAGGAGGAGGAAGGAAGGGGGTGGAGAAATTTTGCTAAAACTGAAAAAGAAAATAGAAATTTTGATTATTTCTTAAAGCTGTGAATTAGTTAAATGAAAATTAAAAAAATTAGGATTTGAATGAGATGGGAGAGGAGTTAGGGGGTTGGGGAAGATTTTAGGAAATGGTTACAGGCCTATTAGACAAGAACAAAGCCCACACCTGTATTGATTCCACACTAGAATATTCAGGTGAATATTTCACACCTGTATCAGTTAATTCCAGTACAGGAAGGTTCTATGTTCCTGCTACACTGAAGATTACATGGCTATCTCAGCTAATCATCTGCCATCTTTCTCATCATCCCTGTGTCACTAACGGTCAAGTCACACGGTACAGATTTTCACCACGATAGTGTCCTGGGGTTATCAACCAAGCTCCTCGGTGGCTCATTGTTCAATTGTTCCTGTTCTGCCTGTATTCTGTCTTGTCATGCAATGTGCCCCTCAATCAGGTTCGCCATCTCTCATGAGCATCACTCAATTTTTCCGCCTCTTTTCATTAGGAAATAAGTCGCGGTCATTGATATCCATGTGATCTTAATTTACCATGTTTTTTTAAAACATTACTGAAGTCATGGTGGAAGAATTTATCATTTAGGGTTTTTTTTTTTGAAAGACGAGATGATTCATCACCAAGGTAACAAACAATATCTCAGTAAAGATGATTCATTAATACCTTGTATATAGTAAACATGTGCAAAAAAACTATAAATAAACAATTTGTAATAAAAGTTATGACAGTTTTTTATGTAATACTGATTCAGATTTCGGAGTTTTACTTCATTTGGGTAAAATATGTCACAAGATTTAAGTTACGTATGTATCAAGTACATTCACTAGACATGGTAGAATCATGATTGGATGTGATTACAAATGGTACAGATGTCTAATTCACTGGCTAAATCTAAATACATTTTAGAAATTAGATTGAATTTCACATTATTTAAAAATTCCAATTTTTTTTTTAATATAAAATCAGTTTGTTTTGATTTTAACTGATTTTTAAACACAGTGTAAGTGAATTTTTGTTGACTTTTTGAAATCTTCTATATACTAATCTTTTGGAAAAATAAATATAAAAAGAATATGACTAATTATGATAAATAAAATTATAATGTTAAAAAAGTTAAGGTTTGAATTTATATCAGTTTGTTATACTGAATGTGTTGTTGAGATCAGGTTACAGAAAATAACGGGTTTTATCACCTTTCACCTGTTGACAATACTTACCTGTGTCAGGTTTAACGAGTTCAATTTGTACAACACCTATAGGTATACCTGGCTGCCATGCCTCTGGCATATGACACACTGACTAGTCATAAGCTTGTGTTAGATAGAAGGAGATGCCAGCATTGTTACAGCCATTTTTACTGTCTTTCTTCAATTACTTGAAAATGCAGAGGGCTGGTTAGAGGACAAATGATAAATGCAAGGAACAAAGGATGAATGCCAGGAGAATTGCTGACAGCCTCTGAGAGATGACCCAGAAAAACGATTTCATCTATCATAAAGCCGTAAAAGCTAATCGCTGCTTTTGGTCATAGGACTGATCTTATGATACCAGGTAGACTGGGGCTATACCTATCAGGAAACAGGTGTATCGCTTTCTCATTCACGAGACAAAACAAAAATTATCAGCACCAGCAATTTGTAGAATTCTGACACCCAAATAATTCTTACTCTAGAAATTATGAAAAATACTGCATTTTGATGGTTTACTGGCAAAGATGAGGAAAATAAATTTCAAGTAATAGTTTCGTAATTAACTAAATCTAATTATTGATAACTACCGGTATGTACTTGCTTGTAAAAACTGCTGATACAGATTTCAAAGATTGGAACTCTCAGTAAAGACATGTCACTTTATTCACGATAATGGTAGATATGCTACAATGCTGATTGTACCATTAATATCATTTACACTTAAGGTGGTATGCTACCTTCCTCATCATCTAGGTGTCTTAGGTTAAGGGTTTGTGCTACATACCTTACATGGTTTACAAAAATATGTTGAATTGTTAGACATGAGGATATATTACCAACTTGATATAATAAATGTGGTTTTTGTCCATGAAAAAAAAACAAATTTTGGATGGCAGATACCCTTTTTTAATTTGACTGGGGGATTTTAGATAAAATTTTGGTGACAGCAGTCTGAAAGGGGTCGACCCTGGTGGTCAGATGTGGGACTGTCAAAGTTGCAAGGGCTTGACTCCAGTGTTAAAATTTGGGCCAGTGGTCAGGTGTGGGACTTTCACAGTCTGGAAGGACTGGACCCCAGTGGTCAGATGTGGGACTGCCAAAGTTTTGAAGGGCTGGACCCCAGTGTTCAGATATGGGACAGACCAGCCCGGAAGGACTGAACTCCAGTGGTCAGATATGGGACGGACCACAGTGGTCAGATGTTGGACGGACCCCAGTGGTCAGATGTGGGACGGACCCCAGTGGTCAGGTGTTGGATGGACCCCAGTGGTCAGATTATGGACGGACCATAGTGGTCAGATGTTGGACAGACCCCAGTGGTCAGATGTTGGACGGAACCCAGTGGTCAGATGTTGGACGGAACCCAGTGGTCAGATGTTGGACGGAACCAAGTGGTCAGATGTTGGACAGACCCCAGTGGTCAGATGTTGGACGGAACCCAGTGGTCAGATGTTGGACGGAACCAAGTGGTCAGATGTGGGACCGACCCCAGTAGTCAGACTCTCCCTGAGATTTCTGTGTATTGGTTACATACTAATACATTATGACAAGTATAGACATATACAGGCACTTCAAGTATTACCATCACAAATATTTAGTATTCACAGACAGAAAAAATGTAAACTAACTACTTCATCTTCTTGCTGATAATATTTGGCAATCATGGTGACGACTGCATGCCTGCCACTGACACGTGCTGTAACAGGTTGCTGTGGCGATGCCTTCACCATGCCCGGACCACATACCTCTGTACCCAGTTTGCCTGTATTAACGGTATAAACCCCTCGTAGTCGTGGGCACGTTTCTCGCTATGAATACTTCAGCAGCGATATATATATATACTATCAGTTAACTTTTAAATTTATAATACTCTCCAAGTTTTAAAAATATTTTCTCCTCATCAAACATTGAAACATGGTTATATGCCTGTACATACTTTTCTCAATGAAATGAAAATGGACTTTAGTTAGCATAACAGCCGGAGAGAGTTAAGTGTGTGGAATACTTCACTGCTAAATATTTGTCTTGTCCTTATGTGTAATGACTAGGGTGGAGAGTATCTGCTTCTGTGGTAGATTAGGAGAAACCTTTAATCATCAGATCTATACAGACAGTTCTAACAAAACTACACACATATACAGTAGAACTGATCAAAGACAAGATCCCTTCTAACTCTGATCAAATTGTGCAAGGTTCCCTCTAACCCTGATTGAATGTTAAAGCTATATACATACATCAGTAAAAAGCTTTAATTATTAAAAAGTTCTTTATATGATATCCTAGTATTGAAATAATTTAAATATACATTTCTGTCAAAGAGATATGGTGCACTCGAGAGATAATTGATAAACCCAGGTCCAATGCAATACCTCCATTATAGATAATAGATGTTTCTGTATTTTTATTCAATGTTTTGAGGTTTGTTCTTCTGTCTAGACTTCAAAAAAGTGTTTGGTTACAATCTAGCCACCTTCCTTCTAATTCCTATTTTTATCCATATTTAGATTAAAAAAAAAGATTGAACATCTTAACTTTTTTATTACCTTTCTCAGCAAGTGTAAAATAAAATTTATTACTAAATGGTCGATTTGTTTTCGTATTTTACAGCTTTGGATGATAATGTTGAGGCAGAACGTGATGAGAGCTTGTCCAATATTTCCTACAAAATGGTGGCTATTACAGACCACATACAGCTCAACGGGGAAATGCCACAGGACTCGGTAAATATATATCTCACTACACTACGATCCTTTTACTTATTTATATGAGTGGCTATGCGATATTGAAATTATTTTTTTACGAGTTTCAATAAACGATACATGACATGAGCCTCTAGGTTAGTCTCTGATCAAATTATTTGGCGAGTTATAAAAATCAATTCCATATGACTTTGTCAACACAATTGTAAGATTCTATTTATGACTAATAACTTATATTTATTGGAAAAAGAAAATCAGAGAAAAGTTTCATAGAATTTCTCTTGATGCACAGATTTTGACAAAGAGCTGGGTACGCTTTTGAAAACAATATTTGTTTTTGATGTCGTAATTGTGTGTGAAACCATGTATATAATATTGCTGTATTTTGTGACCAAATGGATTATAAAGGAATGCGATGATAGAATTCATATTTAAGAATTATGTAAACATAAAACCAACAATGCACATTGAAAAAAAACTATTTTAGAATATCTTTGAAACTTTGAAAGAACTTGAAATATGCATCTCTGAAACCACAGCACATATGTGAGAATACAAAACCAAAACTACTTTAGTCACGAAAATTATGTTTAATTTTTTTTGTTATGATACCAAATCATACAAGGTTTTGTTTCCAACCCATCTATTCATTTGATCATTAAATGTTTCTGTGATGCTGTCATATGCCGGATGGTCTCTCGAACTCTGCCAGATTTTCAGAACAATGAGACATTTAAAATCCATTGTGTGGTATTTGGACGGGATTCTTCGTATTGTTAAAATGCAGTGACCCTTCTTAAGATTGCTGAGACAAGCTAAGAGCTTGTGTACATGTAACTGTCTCGTCCATCACAAGATCAACCTGAGTTTGAAGTTTAATTAAATCCCAGCATACTTACTCGTTTACTGGTATATTGACAGACAGAGATAAATTATACATGTTTGTAGCCACAATCATTTCAGAATCATTGCCAAAGATTGGCTTCCACGATAACCAGCGGGTGCACAGAAACAAAACCATCCGCTAGCTATCCTGTACGTTTTAGGCAATATTTGATCGCTGACCGACCCATCATTTAATACGCGAGTGATAAGCACCATTCTTCTTAACATGCAGGGTGCAAATGCTTCGAATTTATGACATGGTGCATGACATAGATTCTGGAGATATGCATTTCAACAAGATTTGTCTGTACATGATAGGGTACATATATTTTATCATCATTTATTTAGAGATCTTTGAACATTTTGTTTATCTTGATTAAGTGTTTATTTATTTGATTATCAAACTGAAGAGTTTGTTTAGAAATTGTCCCATGCAGCCAAAATGACTTCCATGCTTCTTCTCGAGACCTAAATTCCATCTTCAGAATTCCATTTTAAGATCTTGTGGCATAATAACTGTCGTGACACTTGTACTATCATCGTGTGACCACTGTTAAAGAGAATCCCTGAATGTATGATGGGCCCATTATATATAATGATGGTGGGTTAGTCGTTCCTAAGTAAATAATTCTAAACAAATTGAAGCCCAGATGATTTTCAGTAACGGTAGTTTTTTACATCCACTTGTATTATACCTTGCACAAAAACATCACCGATGCATTGAACAAGCTGATACCTGACAGAGTAATTACAAAACTCAAGGTCCGCCACTCTTAGCCGAGTAATTTGCCTAGGATAAATACAAAACTCTGTACAGACCTTGGTATTATATTCAGCTGTCCTTTACAGAGAGTGGACTATCGGTTTGAATGGCTTTTTTTATACTGGAAATAATAACCCAGAAATGTCTGTTGTACTTACTGGTATATACAAGACCAGACAGATGAGATGGAGGTCTCCACACTGATCACTTACCACCTTTTGTTAACAATCTGTTAGGACAAGAAAATAGGATAATTTGTTGATGAAGTCATTTAGTCAGATATGCTGTCTGTTTTTCATCACTATGGATACTGTAATCTGCCATCTACTTGATGACAAAAATTTTGATTATTGTCTCAGGTGTGTAAACATTCAAGATAATTAGAAATTAACAATTTGTTTAATTAAGTGTCAGCGAATGTCACAACCTTTTACTTACCTTAATTTAAAATGTTGAAATTAGGACTATAAAAGAAATACGTAGAATTTTACTAATACTATAGCTACTGCTTCTGCATGCGATTCTGATGATCTGAAATTTAAAATTGCTGGTTTATTTGTATTAGGAGACGGGTTTATGTCAAGTCTTCATTAACTTTTAACTTATACTAAATTTCTTAATCTAGAATACAACCTGCAAGTCAAAAGTGGATTAAAATTAGAGAATAAAAATATTTTGTCAAAAATATGGAAATTCAAAACTATAGTTACATAAGTGAAAGGATTAAAGGTACATTTCTGAATCATGATAGGTAAGAGGTTTTCTTTGGAACTCTTTTAGAACAAAGGTAATATTTCACTAAGGAACATGTAGTCTTAAGTGTTAATATTTTTTACAAGTTATGATTCATTTACTATTACCTAAATGTGTACTTGAAGTTAAATAACCCCAAAGTTTGACAAATCACCCAACACCACCAAACTTTTAACATTATAACAGTGCAGGATTTGTGACATAAGAAACAAATTATGAGAACATAAAAATCTGTGTGATATACTGTGAATTCTTAATATGTAAATTACAATATGCAAATTTTGTGTTGAAGTTGCTGAGGTGCTGCATCACATTTGCTCACCTGTGTAATATTTTGCATATATATCATGTTTACCGTTACTTGTCCAATACCTGTGGTTTACCTGAGTTTTACCTGTGAGTGTAGATTCTGAAGACGAGCTTTCTCCCTAGGAGAGCCTGAAGCTGTCATTATGTGCATATTTGTATAGATAAAATAAGACAGTGTGTGTAGGTTTGTAGCCAAGGGCTACTCTTTATCCTGCATGTTAACAGTGGTCGGAAGAATATTGTCTGTCACTGGCAGATTCATCTTGCGTTAGTAATGTTATGCATATGATGACAATAGACAAACTATGAAACAGACTATAATTCTCTGTCTCAATCATACAGCAATGATTACAGCACTCCATCATAACTGTTTCAGGACCCCGATGACTTTGATGAATATGGTCCCTTAGTTGTCGATACCTCGAGGCAGCCATTGGATGACGATGATGAGAAAGATAACATACACCAGCCAAGCTCAGTAAGTGGTCTCCATCTCTCAGAAATACAGGCTCCTGGTCTAGGACCTCACCTGGACGCCTCCTCAGTCGTCGAGACTGTAACGGGTCAGGAAGACGCACCCTCTAGTCAGCCTATAACAGATCTCCATCGTCAGTCAATAGGAAACCATCTTCCCCTTGTCAACGACGATTCAAATCTTTCAGCATCTAGAACTCCGTCCGTCACCTCTTCGGATCAACTTAGCCCGGGAGGTTTTAGTTCTAGTATTTCCTCCTCGAAGACACATCGACGCGGTATCAGAGTAAGTCAGTTTTTCATACGTTGTAATATACTAGCTCTTAACTATCGAGACCATGAAATTAGGAAACATTACGTTTCCGTCCTGTTATAGGTATGATTTGGTCTCCCCATATGTTGAACTACTAAACGATTTGTGTGATTTTCCCTTAAAATTGTTTCCATATGGCACTTATATTCCAAAAACAAAACCACTTTAGTATACTCTGCGTGATTTGATGTGAAAAGAAGATCTTTCCTTTCCTCGTAATTCTTATTTCTGTGGTAACCAACTTCCGTTCTGATCTTTATTTTAATATATAACTTGATGGTTCATATCGATCTTAGTCTGTAAATTGACAAGTGTATTTTGTCAATAAATTACTTAATTATTTTGATCTGTCCATTCTTCATATATGCTGTTGAACAAGTCTGAAATTGACTATAATATACTAATAAATTGATGCATGTATTGTATATATCAATTTTCAAAGGAAAAGAATTGAGAAAAAAAATATATATAAGAAATATTAATAACTTTCTGTTAATTAAGAAACATTTATATTTATTATGTCTACTTATCTATAGATGTAAACAAAAACTTCAATACTATTATATTTGATAACAGTTTCAGAATTTTCTGAGGATAATTTTATCACCATCAAGTTGAAAAAACTTAGCTTCTCTCTTCTCATCTTGAACACTGCTGTATATACGTATGTATATATAATACTTAATTGTTTCTTTAATAGGTAATTAGTTTTTCAAAATTAATGTGACATGAATGATAACTATTGAAAAAATATGCCAATTTATGAAGAAAGAAAAAAAAAAGAAGGCAGAATATCTTGTGCTTTTCCATTTCATGTGTACTTCAATAATTTGATATAAAATTTCTAAGTGAAAACAGAAGCAGAAACATGTAAGATTTATATATATACGTATATGCAGCAGTGACTCATTAAATGCATCTACTGACTGTCAATCAAGGTGTCGAAGGGCGAGAGACAGACCGTAGATGTTGTGTGTTTCTTTTTGAGTGGCTGTACATAGTCTTACCATTACTAGTAGTACAAAGTGGCTAAAATTAATTTCAGAACCACTGTTTAAGTAGCGAGAAGGATTTAACCCTGAAGGAAGATGATCAAACTGAAAACAAGGTACTGTTTAACAAATTGTTATTGTCCATCTCAGAGAAATGGGTAATAGCTTTTTCTTCTAGCAGGTATATACTGACACCCTTTTGTAATCATTCCATCGAACCCTGGGGCAAATGATGAACACACGCTGAGCATGAATGGCTATCATTAACGCTTACATCCATACCTATAGTACAGGTAACGGAAAGGTGGAGACTAACAAATTGCACTGCTTAACACCTTCTCACCACATACATTAACTTTCATATTCCATCTTATGTCACATACTGCTTGTGTAACTGTTTTATCCCAAAATGTAAATAAATGCAAATTGATCAATCCTTTATCTATTTACCCTTTTCTTTATTTACAGAAAATAGTTTTAATAACTTGAAAAAAAATAAAGAAAAGGGAAAACAATCAGAATAATATCTTAGTTTATTTAACATAATTTTTTGCTAATTTATTAATTAGCCTTGAAATGTTGTAAGAGTTACCCCCCTTCCCCTACTCAGTCTGCCTGAGGCTGAATCATTTGAGATGCAGACATCACACAGCATGTTGATTGTAGACTAGTGGAATTTGTCACCTGATTATGGTGTAAGTAGATTAGAAATTTGTCTCTGGTGTAGATAGATAGACATTTTAAGGTATTTATTTGTATAATTCTTGTAGTGTTGATAGAGAGTTTGATTCCATGAATGATGCATGCCTCAGATCATTGTAGTGTCACAGCATGATGACAGGAAAGGGGACATGTTTAATTTCCTATTACACTAGCTTCAGCTGCTGGTTACTGACAGGGCACTTATAATGTATACACAACAGGCCAGTTGATAAGTACAATCATGTTCAATGGACTGTGTATGTGAATAATATTCCAGCCTAGCTGAAGTAAGCCCACATGATTTTGTTTTACTGTAAGCCTCTAGGTAATTATGTGGTGGTGCATGCTGTTGACCTGTGTTCAGTAAAAGAGTCCTGTTTCTTTCTCAATTCTCTGTAAATGTATATATATATCTGTAACATTATTGATTTTTCACAGCATTTTTACTACATTAAAAACTAATTAAAATTATAATTTATGCACAAAATATGTATATTAATGTTTTTTGGTCTTATCACAGTTTAACATTGATATTATCATTTGTTTATGAAATGTTCTGAAATTTGTTTTTGTTTTGTCTGGATTTTTTTTGTTTTTTTGTAATAAATTAGAACAGATAATTGATTAAGTTGAGATGATTTGTAAATTGGTTTGAGATGTAGATTGTGTTGATATATAAATTTCACTGTGTAGAGATAAACCTTATCTTATGTCTGTATATCACAAACTCAGTCGAACAATCAGCATTCATCTATCTTTCACCTACTCATATCTTGTGTTGTGGATTACATTGTTTATATGTACAACATTGCCGCATGAACCACAACTTGAGGTAAATAATGCCATGATTTTTCATGTAAACCCCACTCCCCTAACCACGTCCTTAAATATTAAATTATTATGGCTTATCAAAATACGATATTTCCAACAGCTCAGATATAAAAAAAGGAGGATTTTTAATCTCAAACATTAAATAAGATGCCTTTCTGTTAGTACTCAAAGTGCATAATAAAAATAAATCACATGAGTAATTTGGACATGACATAGTTTGTTGAGTAAATAAATAACATGGTTCTTTATTTGATAAAAGTCATATAACATCATCAGAACAATGAATGAGGACGTGGATTTTACAACAGGAAGTCTATTTATCACAGAAGCAAAAGTCAGCATGACCATCAGGTAGTCATGATTCTGGTATGTTGTGGAGAAAAAAAAGTGTCAAAAAAAAAAAAAAAATCTTGACTCTTTAGACAAATTGTAGGATAGTTATATACATGATGATGATAATGAAGAGAAATGCTGAAAACACATTGCCAGGTAATGGCTATTATGCTTGAGTTCATTGGCTGACAAGATGATGAATCAGATTTTATTGCCAGAGAGTCAGTTGGGAAAGCTATTGCTGTCGTAAGGTGGCAAAAGAGCTCCAAGCCAGAGAGCTGTGATGGGAGAATATTGACAGCTCTTAATACCTGTATAGGACGCTGGTGCCTCAGGTCATTCTTGGACGTGGTTCAGTGAACCTCGTCCTACCATGAACACAGGCGACCCTCAAGTAATACTTAGGCTTCATCAGGCCCTGTCATTCAGTGTCTCTACATCTCACCATATAGGTACACAGACTGTGTGTATCTTACCTGGTCATGTTTTATCTCGTTTGGACAGGTGATCTGAGCAGGATGTTTTCTAGTGCACATTGATGTGTACTGAGAGAAGTGCCTTTCCTTGTAGTAGTGTCCATCTCCTCTGGTTAGTTATGTGTTGAACACTTGTTTCATGGGATGATAGATCAGACCTGTAGCTATTTATGAGTCTGACCTGTTCACATCGTTTTACAATGTATTCTGAGATCTACCTCCGTGTGACCGATGGAAGATGAAAAGTCTTCTTGCAGCCATTAATGTTTTGTGGAGACAGGTTTACGAGTTAGTTACATTGGTTGTGTCTCTTTCAGATTCTACCTGTAGCCAGCGAGACTGGAGAGAGCCGATACGTCTGTCCTATCTGTAACCAGACGCTGTCCTCATCCCACGAATTAACTGTCCACATCCGAACCCACAACACTCACACGGGTTCAGCCTCACAGGCCAACTCATGCACAATCTGTGGAAAAAGTCTTAGTTCCCAGAGCTCACTAGACAGACACATGTTGGTGCATTCCGGTAAGTCACAGCTACTTTCCTGAAATTCCTGGGCAATAATGTAATGTCCTAGATTTTGTTGTAATTAATAGTTACAAACTTAAAGTCAATTATTTTGTTTTGGTCTTGTAATCATTAAAGATCAACTTCTATTTTAAATGAAATTAAAAAAACAGTTTACCTTTAAAAAAGTAAATGAAGAAGTTGTTTTTTGTTTGTTTTAAATTGAAGTAATTATTTATTACCAAAAATGAAATTGAAACATATATTGTTTAAAATTTGCACATACTGTATTTCCAGGTGAGTTAACATTGTAGATTTTACACTGATTGATGTGAAATGTACATTCTAGCATGACAAAAGTTCAATGATGTTTGTGTCTACAGCAGTTTTATTTATTTTAGGAAACGTCGTTTTGAAAACAGCTTTGGGTTAAAAACCATTCACCAGTTAAATAAATAGTCACTAATACCAGAGAACTTTTTGGGAAAACAAATAAAATTGTGTACATTGTCACTGTTTATAGTATTTACCTACATTGATTGGTTACAAATTTTGAGAATTTTAAACTTCCACTCTGTGAAAGTTTTCCTGGTTGAAATAAATTTTGACAACTAACCTTTTATCAAAGATAATGTTGTCATTTTCATCCTGTTCTGGAAATTGGTTTTAAATGTTTACTTGGACAAAGTCATTTCATTATGTAATATAATTAGATTATGCTCCCCAAGTCCACTCAGGTAAATTTTCACCTGTTCCCACAGGTGTAATTTGTTTTGAACACCTCTCTGTGAGGCCCAGGACTTGAGCAATTTGTAGGTGGTTACATCATATTATGCCTGTGACTGCTGCTGGGGGGTTAACAGGTTCTTGTCATAATGTATACTGTCGAATACTGGCGGTTATGATGAAACACATCTGAAACATTCCCAAGGGCAACTGTCAGATTTTATCGGGTGCTATATATATAAGAATTCAATAAAACTGTAGTGTTTCTACAATGAGACCCATGGTAGTGTAGATGTCAGGGCTGTAGTGTTTTTACAATGAGACCCATGGTAGTGTAGATGTCAGGGCTGTAGTGTTTTTACAATGAGACCCATGGTAGTGTAGATGTCAGGGCTGTAGTGTTTTTACAATGATTATTCTAGATGATTTGATGGATCAAACATTTCAGGAATGTCTTGATATAATTTAAGTAATTATATTCTCAGGTAATAACTGGAAAGGCTCAGGTAATATCTGGAAAGGATAAGAATTCTTGTTTGTGAAAAGGAAGCTGCTACATTTGTTTACTTAAGTCTTTCTTTATCTAAGAATGAATTTCATTTTTTTCAAATATTTCACAGTTTTAAGGCGAATTAATTGAACTTTTTTCAGGTGAACGACCTTTTAGGTGCAAATATTGTAACATGTCATTTACAACGAATGGAAACATGCATCGACACATGCGTATCCATACCAAAGAAACTGAAATGAACGCTGGTGGTGTCAAAGTTCAGAGAAAACGTGCACAGTCTTGGAAGCCCAAACTGAATAGTTTCATCCAGATAGAACCAACCTCATCATCTAAACATGTTGGCGGTTTAACAGGGTCACCACGGTTACTCGGAAATGATCTCATCCAGGGGTCACCTCAGCTCGCAAAAGAACTCACATCCGACTCTAACACAAGGTTTCAGTATTCTAAAACCTCCACCCCAAAGACACCTGTCACTCCTGGTGCCAAAAGGTCGTTTAATTTCATCAATGTCTCACCAGGAGATTGGTCAGTGCCATCGCTCAAACGAAACAAAATGATGGAAGAGGGAGTGAAAACAGAAAAAGAAACGGCTAAATCAATTCATCAAGCTCTTCTAACAAATGTTTCACCTTCTGAAGAAAAACCTGAGGATATGGAGGTAAGTTTTAAAGCATTATCTGTCTTAGATAATTTTAGCTATGAAGTGCTACAGAAAAGACAATTTTAATCAATTGTAATGAAAAATAATTGCTGGCTTTACAATCTTTTTGAGAGTCAATAGAGAAAGTCCAAGCAATGATTATGTTTGGTTGAATGACCTCAGTGCTTTTCAGCTGAATACCTATCAGGGCCGATATTCAAAATAAAATAAAGATTTTAAAATTCGTAACTTTGTACCAAGAGATGGCCTGTGAACCAGAAATCCTATTGTCACCAATGTCATTCTTTTGAGTAGACATTTGTTGCTAACTTTTGTGTTGACCTTTATTTGACCTTGTGCTGACCCATGTCTGTTTTTTGTAGGTATTTAATGGCGATGATAAGGATGTTGAACAGCTCCACTGTCCAGTTTGTAACAAGGCTTTCATCTGTAAGTACGGTTTGGAGAACCATATCCGTGAGAACCACCCAAACTTCTCTCTCAAGTGCAACCTGTGTCACATCACTTTCCACACACTCCGCAGCCTCAGTCTGCACAAGACCCTGGTACATGCGAAGGCACAGCAGACAGATAAGGAAGATGACGAGAGCAAGGAGGACGTGAAAGTGGCCACCACAGCTGTCATAGGATTTTATGATCTCAGCTTTGTTGACTTCTCCATCAAAAAGTTTTCTTTGATCGCAAAGTCATGGTGCGAGCAGAATGCCAGGAAGTCCAGCAGTGTGTATCACCATTTTGTCTGTAAGGAATGTTCTAAAGCATTTCCTTGTAAAGGTGCTTTAAAACTGCATCTCAACACCCACAGTCGTGCCAAGACATCGCAATGTCCACTTTGTGAGTGTGACTATATGACAACTAAAGAACTCCACATGCATATGATCAAGCATATGTCTGATAAAGCATTTGCTGACGCTCAGAAACCAGTGCAATCCAATCGTCGTAAACCAGTAAAGGACTTGAAAGCCGAGGAAGTTGGCAAACACGATTTCTTGGCTTCTTTTGGACTCACTGCTAATGTGGAGTCTTTAGATGGTACAGAGAAGGAGCAAAGACTGACTGCATCCAGTGACAAATTCAAAGTTCTCGAACGAAAAGAAAATAATGAATATTTTGCAAAACTTGGACAAATATTCTCGCCAACTGTCTCACCAATTCATCCCTCCAAGAAAGCCGAGTCTGCTGACAATGACAACGACTTTGCAAACATTTCCAAGATTTTGCAGACGTCTGCCACAGGAGGTCTTCTTGCTGGCCTTCCAGCACATGTTGCTGGTCTGGAACAGCTTGGTCTACTCAATTCTTCTCAACTAGCAGCTTTTATGCCGTCACTTTTAAATTCCTACAATCATCCGTCTTTCCCCCCAACAATGGCCGCCATGATGAATGCCAGTCACATGATGAATCTAGCCAATCAAGGGGCCGCTAGTCCACTTTCCACACCGCCACCTCCCAGTGAAGGTAATAGCAGTGCTGGTAGTGCAGCTTCACCTGGCAACGATTCGAAGATCACTTTCCCCTGCAAATACTGTGACTTGGTCTTCCCGAATTACAGAGCACTCAAAAGTAAGAACACTTACTTCTGCATAGAAAATGAGAGTCAATATGTTGTCAGTCAGAAAAATTAATTAGAAATATATTTTTTAGAATTTTTTGGAAGGTTTTCATGTTAATTGTGAAGATTATTTACTAATCATTGAGAAAGATAGATTGCCAAGATTCTAGAGATGCTTGTTGGCAAATCATTTTTTGAAGGCATAATTTTTTCTTGATGACAAAGTATTATATACATATATATAAACTGTATCACTCCTCAGAAAAATCCCTCTTGAAATAACCTTGACCTGTAACCTTTCAAAACTGCATCATACTCTGTTCACGACATGTCTTCTTCTTTCCTACGTCACGCCGCGTAGTAAGTATGGATCACTGACGCTGGCCGCACTATCAATCTCGCCCATTTTACTGTAATTATTCAACAACGCATCATGTCTATCGTTTACTGACTCACTGTCGATGGTTGTTTGTGCATGCTGTACCTTCTGTTGATGTCCTTTTACAATGTTACCGTTTCATCATGTATTATTTGAAAGCTATTGACCTTTTTATTTTTTCCATTTTTCTACAAAGTCTTTTTTCTTTGTTTTTTTGGTGTTGTGAAAGCCGTTTCTGACTTTTTCCCATAAAAGATGAAAGTTTGATATTTCATTTGCATCGGTGTCCGATCTTGTACTTATTTGGTGGTTCCGATGAATTTTTATGTATTTTTTTTCTTTTGTTTTGCAAGAAAAGAAAAAAAATTCTTTTGCTTAATATATCATATGTAATCCAGAAAATGTGTCTACCTCTTATTTCTTGATATTGTACCCATGTTTTCGGACTGTCATGCACAAGTAGGGCTGAACATGCATGTCGATGAACCGAGACAAAACCAATTATAACCAAATTTCAATTAGATAGCTTGTTAAAGAATGTGAACACAAAATTTCTCTGCATGGTGCTTGGAAGTATTAAAAATGAAGAAATGATGTGAAGTAAAACAAAAATGATGTGATGTTTTTTAGAGCATTTTGAAAAAAGCATGTCACGTAATTTTGGAAAATATTGAACATGCATGTGCAGCTTACTTCATTGATCTGCATGACTGATCATCGGTGTCTTTTACATCATGTACATCAGGTTTCCACTTGTGTTCACAGGTTCAGCAACTCACAATTGATATTTTCATTTAAAACTTTTTCACATGTTGAATTGGTATAAAAATGTTTCCTCTTGTTTAATCATACTATTTATATTCAGCAATAAGCCCATGTCTTGTGATAAGCCCGTCCACTTCTATCAAAGTTTGAGTAAAATTACATGGTATAGAAACATTATATGATTTTCCTGTAATAAGTCCACTTTCCCCACTGTAAGTAAGATTTTATGTGTTGAGTGCGTAATTTTAAGTTTTATTAATGAATATTAACATTCTAAATAGTACTTATTTCACAACACCGGAAATTTCAGAAAATAATTAGTAACCTGAAGAATTTTGATATTTCTATACCAAGATGATTTGTTGTAATCTAAAAAAAAATGTTTTTCTTGTGTAGGTCACACTCGTACCCATCTAGGCCTTTCTCCGTACAAATGTAATCTGTGTAGCTACTCCAGTGCTGACAAGAGCACCCTTATTCGCCACCTTCGCACACACAATGGCGAGCGTCCTTTCCAGTGCCGTGTTTGTGACTTTGCTTTCACCACTAAGGCTAACTGTGAACGCCATGTCAGGTAAGTTCATAAACCCGTCATTTTGTGCAGCAATAAATTTTATAAAAGTTGAGTAACTCTCAAGGCACTGATATCTTCAAGATATATTGGTGTATAGAAATTGAGGTTTTACTTTAAAATGACAATCGAGAGACAGTAAAGAGATTTATTTGATTTTGAAATTTTCTTTGACAGGAAGAAGCACGGTAAAATAGTGAAGGAAGACATAGAGATGGCAATTGGCTACAACAAATATGTTTCTGAGCGTTCTGCTATGGACTCTTTCCATTCCCCAGACACCGTCTGTAAGTACTGTGGTGTTGACTTCAAGTTCTTCCGTGCACTGAAACACCACCTAAGATCTCACAGCAGCTGTCGTCAGAAGCCATTCCAGTGTACTCGCTGTGATGTCGGCTTCTCCACAAAAGCCAATTGTATCCGCCACATCCAGAAACAACACACTGAAATCTCACAGAACCACATCGAACAGTACATCCTGATTCATGAGCCTCTCCCCGGAGAAGGAAGTGACCGTTCAGATGGCGCTCTTTCTGATGACAACACAAGTCAAGAATCACCATCTAACCCACCAGCCGCTCACTCTAACTCTCGACTGATCATGACCCCCAACAGCAGCCGTGCACAGTCTCCCATGGTTATAAAGTCAGAACCAATCGACCATGAAATAGAGGATATTCCACTTGATTTCAGCGTCAAATCCTCGTCTGCTAACTCGACTCCTAGTATCATACCACGAGGAACTCCAAACAAGAAGGTATCCAAGTCAGAGGAACTGCCCATGGACCTGTCAATCAAGAGAAAGATTGACAGCCCAGTGCCAATGGTAAGTGTTATATAAAGGTTGTGAATGGCTGGAATATGTAGCGAAAAAATAAATAATAGGTATTAGGTTTGTTTGATTTATTGATATTGTGAAAAATTACATGGAAATTTATAATTGAATTTTTTGGCAATTTTTCTCGTCAGATATCGCCCAATAACAAACAGAAGGTTACTTATGATAATACCCTTCACCAGTGCCAGTTTTGTCCAATGGGTTTCTCCAGCCAGCGTGTCCTTGACCGCCACATCTGGCAACTCCACCCACAGATCGCTGAAGTTATGGGTAAACACTACTTCACTCCAATCCTTTCATCACCGGCTGACAAGTCTGTGACCTCGGGAAATCTTCGCCTCCCTCTGAAGCTTCCTATTGGAGATACAACTGCAGACTCAAGATCGCAGACCCCAAAGTCGACAAACTCAGAACCCAGAAAGTCAAATATCTTGGATCGAATCAAACGTGAAGCTTGTTCTCCATCTGGAAGTTCCCAAGGTTTGTTTGATTTTCTAATTCAAATATCATACTCAGAAAATATCATTTTAAAATATGCTGGGGAAATATGTTGATTAAACCGGTTTTGGATTCATATGGATGGAGCAAGATAGTGACTTTTGTGCTTTTATTTGTGATAAGCCCAGGGTACTAACACATATTGTTTAACTTTCATTGGGATAGTGGCTTATTACAGGAAAACAAAATAGCTTTTGTTGCAGTCCTGCTAAACAGAATCAATATGGGTGGGTTTATTACAAGACATGGGCTTATTGCACAGGCAAAGGTATAACAGTTTTTCTAAAACTAACATTTGCATTAAAAGCTACTGATAAATAAGTATCTGTCTCAACCTCATCCTTTAATTTTCAAAATCTGATGAAATAGTTCAAATGTTGTCAATACGAGATTTGATGTGTTTACATTTCATTGTTTACTTGCTACGTTAGTTGCCGCCATGTAAGTATATTGTCATATTGCATACCTGCCAATTCCTAGATCACAATGCATTTCCACCATGTTTGTTTCTGTACTGGAATATACAGATAGTGTGCATTATTTCTCATTTCATTATGTATTTGTAATTAAAACATTCAGTTTATTTCCTTTTAATTCTGTTTGTGTGTATAGTATTGTTGTAGTTTTGTGTAGATTTTTATGTTTTTCAGATTTTTGTGAAAATTTTTTAGTTGTCTGGATGTTTTGAATGTAGCTTTTTAATTTGAATAATTTCACAACAAAATTGTCCTGACGTTATCAGAGATGCATCCAGATTCAGTTTTATTTGTAAACGGATGTTTAGTTTGAAGGAGACTCTGGTCAGAGTGAATTTTAATTATATAATTCTAAATAAAAATATGGTTAGTTGACAGTTTGAGAATTTATTACAGCGTTGAAGTCTTCTCTTTGTTGTTTTGTGTTTTCGGGCTATTTACTGCTTATATCAATGTAAGTTGATGAGCCAATCAGAACCAAGCTTTCCTAGCTTTTCATACCTTAAAGATTTCAAGAACAGACTTGTTGTTAAGAATGTAAGAACGTTTTTTTGGGAATGACATTCTTTTTTCTGTCTGGTACTTCAAACATGAAGATCATCTGCTGTAAATAATTTGATATTAAAATGCCTGTGATTCTGAAAGTTTAAACAATCTCCATTTTAACCATTGTTTAGGTACCGACACCAACTGTGACCTGGCCTCCGTGAAAAAGATCATTGACACCACTAATGCCAACCATTTCCAGCTGTACCTACAAGAGAATATTGGAGATTCTGACTCCCAGGATCGCAGCGAAGCTGCTGATGGAGAGTACGAGGATCTCGACATGCCGGAAATTTCCGACACCGATAGAGATGAATCTGCCCTGGTCATTGCTGAAGATCCCCCAGTATTGAGCCCACGCTCAAAAGCTGACACCAACTCAGACACGAGGAGCAACAACGGGGATGATGATATGCCTGATCTTAATAAACTGCTGAGTAGTGAACTACGACAACAGGTAATTATAGAAACAAAGTTAACATAATGTTGTCTCCTTCTTTGGTTCTCAGTACAATCCTTGTAAATTCTGATTCTGTGATATATATGATACAACAGATATATTTTCACTCTAGTGTTGGTGAAAAATTGGAATAAGTGTTTCATATACCAGAAAGCTTTCTGAAAATGGTGGTATTTACATCATGGTTGTACTTAAGGGTGTATGTGATGTACATATAAATAGATATATTTGACATGCCTGTACAAAATGATAACTTCTTAATTCATTGTGAAATATTATGTAAAGTTTGTTTGAAATCCTTTAGTTGATAATGACGGGTATATGTAGTTCCCAACGTATAATGTTTCTCTTGTATAGATCCAGGCTGCACAACAAGCCGAACGAGAATACATTCCTAACCATCAGGTGGAGAAAATAAAGGGAGATAACATCAAGAAGAAGCGCAACTCCTACGCTGATTCTCCCCATAAACTACAGTGTCCATACTGCACACGAACCTTCCCCTGGGTTAGCTCCCTTACAAGACATCTCCTTACCCACACAGGTAAGAGTTCTTTATTCTTCTTTCTATACAAATGTAAAATATTACCTTTCTTTTTTTTCAGATTTTAAAAAGTCAACAGAATTATTTCGTACATTCTTTATCTGTTTACCAGAGGAATTATTAAGATAAATATTTCATACATCAACAGGTCAGAAACCATTCAAATGCCCAAAGTGTCCAGTGACGTTTTCAACAAAATCAAATAGAGAGCGCCATCTTATCCGTAAGCACGGCGTGAACATGATGGATCCGATGTCGCGTCAAACCATGGACAGGCCATACAAGTGTCATCTGTGTGTTTTTAGCTCATTTTCCACGCAAGGTAAAACATTAATTAATATGTGACTTCAACAATTTATAAAGCATGTGTATTCCCATATTTGGAGAAAGGAAGGAAAATATTTGATATCTTACGGTGTTATCAAAATCTATTTAAAAAGTGCATCAATCTTTCAAAGCAGGAAAAAAAAATATATAAAACCTCTGTCAGTGATTTAAGAAATAAATAAAGCCATACTGATAGACACCATTATAGATAGAGTACGAGAAATCAATCTTATTACTGATAGAACAAGTACGAGAAATCAATCTTATTACCGATAGAACAAGTACGAGAAATCAATCTTATTACCGATAGAACAAGTACGAGAAATCAATCTTATTACCGATAGAACAAGTACGAGAAATCAATCTTATTACCGATAGAACAAGTACGAGAAATCAATCTATGAATCTATTGATTTCAGGAAACTTGCTGAAGCACTACAAGGAACGCCACAACGGCTGCAGTTTGCCGGATTCTCTGGTTGACCTGGACAAGGCGGTCACGACAGGACTGGCCACAACCCTGAGTGGTGAGGAAAGGTCACTCGCTAGAGATAAAGCCCTGGGTATCACCAGAGATGATGTCCTTGAGAACAGCTCTTATGCAGCTGAAGAGCAGCTCAACCAATCGATGGTGAGATAGTATTTATTGAGTAACCTTACACTCTGGATTTACTAGAATTCTGGGGGGTTTTTTGTTTGTTTTAATATTTATCACAGTTCCTGCTAGCATTATAGGTCAAGTTCATCATGTATTCTTGGTCTTTGATTGTATCTATTTCCTTGGTCAATATGATCTTGTCTTTGGTTTATAAAATCTAGCTATCAACCTCGGTCAAAGGCTATGACTGTATAAGGCATAAATAAAGATTTATTTGATAAATGTAGAATTAATCAACGTGACATTTAACATAGTCCAAGGACAAAACATTTTATCTTTTTATGTGACTCAAATTCCCAGGCAATTTGTCTTCTGAGTAAACTTCTCAATTTCTGATTTATCAAATGAAAATGTTGATATTGCAGGAGAATGAGCGCCCAGATGATAGATTTATGTCGATGAACATGGACACAACTTGTAAATCTGACAACGAGGAAGATGATGACTTGGATAATGCTGTTATGCCTACTATGGAGGATATTAACAACTCCATCAACAGCAGTCTTAACAACTCCTCAAAACACGCTGGCTCGGCTGAGCGACAGATCAACCCAGAACGTGATAATTACAATGTTGACAAGATCACCGACTGCTGGAACTGTGGCGAGAAATTTGTATCTCGAAAGTTGTTGGTACGACATCTGAAGGAACACAACATCGATCTGCCTTTCAAGTGCTATTTGTGTGATGCTTCATATGATGTCCGTTTGGATTGCCTTGTACACCAAGAGAAATTCCATGCCACTGACTGGGTGATCCTGAAGGACAAAAACAAGGTCGATGACATCGACTCGTTTTCCCGTCACATGGACAAGGTAGTGGAAAACAACTGTAACAAAGTCGACCAAGGTGTCATCCTGGAGATACCGGGCCAGAGCGCCGATGACCCCAAGATGGAGGTCGTGTCAGCTGACTATATGCAGCGAAAAGTCTACTGCTCTCTTTGTCCGAAACGCTTTTGGTCCCTACAGGATCTTAGGCGCCACATGCGGTCCCATACAGGTACAACATTAAACTTTGTTTACCTTGGTCATCAGATGTCACGGTATGATAATACAAACCTGACAATTTTCATGTTTATTTGTATCAAGGCATAAATAAGTCAAGGTTACTGATATATTGCAAAGTAGCTTGTATGGACTTCGGTTGGTAGTTAAACTATATTTTGGGCAGAAATCTGAGAAAAAAATCATTTTGGTAATTCATTATAATTGATCTGATTGTGTGCTTTGATAGACATTCCCCATCCCCATTTATAGTGATATATTGATGTTTGTTTTGAAGGAGAGCGACCATTCGAGTGCGACATCTGTCAGAAACGATTTACACTGAAGCACAGTATGATGAGGCACCGTAAGAAACACATGGAGTCTGGTTCTCTCAGCCCGAGTGATGACGAGGACACCAACCCTTCTGCTGATGATTTGTGTAAGTTCAGACTCCAGCTGATTTCCGATGGTTCTTCTGACCTCAGATGACCCCAGAAGTTCTCCTTACAGTCTCTAATTTGATTACACTATAGATGTCAGTGTAAATGATTGTGTATGAAATTCTGAGAATCCAGGGGGGGAACTTGCATGGTTAGGCAGGTGTCTTTCATGTCAAAATCTGGTACATGTATTAAATCCATTTGCCTCAGTGAAAGGGGCATGTGGTGTCAATTTCTCCTTCCCAACTACCCATGTAGTTGTACATAACGTCAGTTAAATGTCTCAAAGACCACTGCTGAATGTTCCAGCTTATGTCTTTTCAAAAGAGGTTCAAGGCTATATTTACTGATTTTAGATATTTTTGGATGGAGGGATGGTACTGCTTCAAAAAAGTAAACTTATCACTGCTAAATGTAAATTTTCTTAAATGTTCACATAATTTTATTGAATTTAGAAATTCAAAGAAATGTTTCGAATTTTTTCAGCTTCTCTAAAGATCAAGGGACCACGTTTGCTGCCAAAGCCAAGTCCAAACATGGTTGTCAAACAAACGTCAATTCCCATCCAGCTATCGCAGCCTCGTCCCATCAGGCCGATAGCCAACATGGCTGCCATTCCCATCATTGCTGCGATGCCGACCATGGCTGCCATGCCGACTATTCATCTTAGTAACAGTTACAACCCTGTCAGTGTCAATGGCGACCAGGCCACGGTGAGTTGTCCAGCTCTTGTAGTGTTTGAAAAGGTAGTTAAATGAGGTCTTCTACCAATGGTACTTGGGGTTATGGTGTTGAGACTCTATATCAGGTCACAATCTGATGACTTTAAACTCTTGCCTGTCAGTGTGATTTAAACATTGTTAGAAAATATTTTCATATATAAAAAGTTCCAAATATGTGTGTCAGGTCACAGAGACATTGTCTTGTGTAGACTACACAACAGCTTTTTCATATTTTCATGATTTCTCTGAGCAAATTTAATCAGTTATAAACAAATCGGATTATTTTCACTTAACAAACACTCTCTGAAGGATTTGAATAATATGTGTCTCATTAAAACTATTGTGCCTTCTGTTTCCAGGAACAAAAAGACAAGGTCAATGTCAGCAGCAAGGGGACAACTTTGACCACATCTGTCACCTTGGGATCAACTCTGGGGTCACTCGGAGAGGGCAAGGACAACGACATGTTACACAGTCTGTTAGGGGTGGAGATGGGATCTATTGATAGCATGCTGGACTCAGCAGACAGTGCTGCCAGGCTCCTTGGAGTTAATTAGACAAGCATGCAGGACTCTTTGATACTTTGGATAGTGCCACAAGGCTATGTGGATCTGATAAAATTACCAAACTAGACTCTGCAGACAGTACTGGGAGGGTTGCAGGAGCACCTCAAAGTGATTCAAAGATGATATTTTCCATCTGCTTGAATATACTAATATCAAAACAAGACATGGTCAAGACCACTTTGCAAGGACCCTTTGTGTGGAGTCAGAACTCAGATTCACTGACATCCGAGTCAACATGAAAATCAAAATTAACCAGAAAAGGTTGTGAAAGGAACTGGTAGAAAACAGCCAGAGATGCAAAACTGCTCGATATCATAATTGTAGGAACTGTTGGGACTGCTGAAGTGGTGTCAAAATTACTAGACATTCTGTAGAAATCACTGATCTTTTGAATGGATAAATTTCACCCCATTTTGTGTGATGTGTTCAGTTTAGATGGCAAAACAACAAGAAAAAGTTCTAGGTCATATATAGTGGTCAATAAAATGGACAAGAGAGTGAGGTTTTAGTAATGGTCAAAAAATGATCCAAGAAAAGTGGATATCTAGTTTTGAAAAAATAAATGCTTGCTTCTAAAGTTTTTTTTAGAAAATTGTCTGTTTGTTTGCTCATGTTAAAATGATTTTGGTGGGTGTGTGTTATGTAGACTTGAACTCTGTGATATTTCATCGTTTGAAGTTGGTGAATTAAATGATTGGAATTTAGAACCTACTTGTATTGGACATGGATGTTGTGTGGTACACATGTGTGTGACCCTGGTACACATGTATTATGTGGGATGTAGAATGATGTTTTAACACCTGTGATGGTTTATAGAACAGCATTATGCAAAATATGTAAATGTGTTCATGTGCTTCGTTAATCTTTGACAACGCTGATGAATATTAATGCAATTTTTGTACATAATTTATTATTGAAAGTTTTGTACAGATTTAAATATTATAGAGATTTTTTGTACAGATTTAAATATTATAGAGTTTTTGTACACACAGAAATATTTTCATTTAAATATGGCCAATCCTGATTTGTACATATACCTGACAAATGTTGAATGATCCAGGTAGGCTGTAAAAATGGTTTATATATAATGTTATATATGAAAGAGGTCTAGGGACCAAGTTCTGGGAGATATGTGGCCATAACTACTTAAAGGAGAGATATATTAACACTTTGTACTTTTTAAATGTTTTATTTATTCATGATGAAATGCGTTTGTTTTTGTGTGCCACCATGACTGAGCAATATTCCTCGCGTGTTCAATGTAAGGGAGATAATTCATATCAAATTTAATCATATCATATTCATTTCTATACACAATGCAGTTGTTTGGAGTTAAGATTTGTTCTGTGAACACAGATTGTAACTCCAAGGCATTTACTTCCCTCAATCATTATCATTATTTTCTGTTGGATCTTTTGGGGTTTTCTTGTTTGTTTGGTTTTTTATTTTTTTCTGTCGCTTTTCAAGTATTTATGAAACTAACCTAGTCTTTACGTCAAGATCTGTACAATTTACATTATTTATAAATCTTAGTAGGATCATGATGTGCAACATTCACATGTAGTCCATTTTAGTCACATTCTATATTGTTTTTATTCTTGTACAGCTTAAGGTGTATATTATAATGATAAATGATTTAAAATGGTGATGCTTTGATGAAATTTCATTAATTTTGTATCATTTTAATACGATAGAATTTCCCCGGCCAAAAGGGCTCTCGTTGTTTACTAACATTCCGAGCTATCAGTTTGCTCAAATAATCCTGTACCTAGATTTTTTCAGACATTTTTGTTTTAAATTATTTTTTCATATACTCATACAAGGATATATATATATCTAGATAAATAATTTATAAGTAGACCATGGATTAGTTTTGAAGTAACTTTAATTTATGTTTAACCAATCAAATTTGTTGTGAGTGAGAGACAAGATAAGTTGTGTGGACAGACAAATAAACAAGGATTAAGAATGTTTCAAAATTTATATTTGACTTGTTCTCACAAGAGAATCAATATCTTGTAACTTTTTTCCTTATGTCATGAAGATGAAATGTGATATAAAACAGAAAGTGATATAAAACAAAACATTTAAAGAAATAAAAATTTTGGACACAACAGACATAAAGTTCTTTTAATAATTGAGAGCACCAAATCGTTTGTATGTGAAAACTTGTTCTTTAGGTAGAGAAAAAGAATTTGGATTTAGTCAATAGTAATTTACAAAACATGACATTAACAGAAATATGGCAATTCACCAACATGACATTAAGAGGAAACAATGTAATTTCACATCATAACTTAGCAATGTGCTATTTCTGATCTGTTGAGATCATTCAATCTCTGAACATTGCCTAGTTTTCTTGTTGACAAGGTTACAAAATGCTTTTCAAAAGGCAAAATAGAGATTTTACTAAATTGATTGAATTTTTGTAAATGTGCTCAACAACAATTTCTCTTGTCGTAAGGACAGGACTTCAAGGAATATGCTGTCTCAGATGTTTGCAAGCTTTAGTGTAGTATACAAAGATTGATCATGTCTCAAGTCATCAGCTCAAGTTGATAAGCAATCGGCTTATTTATTCAAAGAAAAATCACAAGGCTTTTATCAATTAACTAATCAAACAGAAGGTTGATTAAATATGCATTAAAACTCCTTGAGATAGATTTTTATTTTAATGTTTACAACTGACATTCCTGAAGTTATAGATCTTTGATTTTCTGTTAAAATGATTAGAAAACATTCCACATTTTCTTCAAGATAGAGACTGAAACTATATTTTTAAAACAAATTTGCTATTTTTCAGATTTCCTATTGTGTACATGCTGATTGTAAATTATTTATTTGTTTTATATGGTGTGTTTTCCACAAGTGATGGCTTATTTCTTCTCATGTTGAAATAAACATCTCAAAAAACTAACAACTTCGTGTTTTCGTTTCTTTGTCTTTTCACCGACCGATAACGATAAACCATGTGACACTGACATGTAGCAGGGCTCTTCAGAAATCTGCTGACATGACACCAGTCTTTTAACACAAAATGAACTTGGTGTGTACCTGTTCGATAGATGTCTGCTGTACTGGCCATATTTAAAATTTATTAGAATTTTCCTCTACCGACCGGATATCTATACATCTGTCCCATACCAAAGAGAAATGCATTATGGTATCAAAATTGATACAAAGATGGAAATGAAACAATTTCTTATCCAAATGACACTAAAAACGCTATCAAAACCAGCAGGAAACTAGAGGAATGTCAAGGGCCAATACTCTTCCAAAACTTGCGAAAAATATTCTACAGTTTTAATAGGGCACACAAAATTTTAAAGAGATCAGTCAGAAACTGAGAATTGAAATCTCTGGACAAGCTTAAAAATCTGGCAAAAGCTAAGGGCAATAACTCCTACAAATAGATTTGTTGAAAACTGGGAAAATTCCAGAAGTATTTATATTTTAACACAGACAGACACCACACCACAATACAGCAGGTTAAATTGACAGACACCACACCACAATACAGCAGGTTAAATTGAAAGACACCACACCACAATACAGCAGGTTAAATTGAAAGACACCACACCACAATACAGCAGGTTAAATTGACAGACACCACACCACAATACAGCAGGTTAAATTGACAGACACCACACCACAATACAGCAGGTTAAATTGACAGACACCACACCACAATACAGCAGGTTAAATTGACAGACACCACACCACAATACAGCAGGTTAAATTGACAGACACCACACCACAATACAGCAGGTTAAATTGACAGACACCACACCACAATACAGCAGGTTAAATTGACAGACACCACACCACAATACAGCAGGTTAAATTGACAGACACCACACCACAATACAGCAGGTTAAATTGACAGACACCACACCACAATACAGCAGGTTAAATTGACAAGATGTATAAAAAGAGATAAAAGAGAACTGCTCAGAGTGCTTACAGTAAGCTGATCCAACCCCAGACTTAAAGCAAGATATTTATGATGGCGTCTTGCAAAAGATATGAGTGACTGTTTTTTTGTAACATCAATTCACTTAAATGTATCAGTTTATTTCAAAGTTTAATGTGACCTAGAGACACTTGTTTGTACTGGAACTGAACTGTAGTATGACAGAAACAAGTGACTTAGTTTGTCCAATAGGTTATGTTCAAAAGTCTGCAGAGATTGGACATTTGTCTAAATCTGAGTGAAAAACAACACTTAAAGATCAAATCCATGTATAACTTAATTTATTGTATAAACTTTATATTGTTTTATTTATCTGATAATCATTTTATCAGATATACCAGGTATGTACTGGTTTTCTTTAGAACAGGTCACTCAATAAATATCATCTCTGTGCACATTACATACTTGTAATAGACACAACAAATCATTAGGTGAACTGTCAGACTTTTCACCTCTTCACCTATAAAATAAATCCTCTATCAATAATTTGGATAAAAACAGACAAAATGCTAAGAACACATTGATTAATTTTCTGCCACTTGAAAAACACAATTAGTGAGAAAATAATGAGTACATAAATAGAATCTAAAATTACTACAGGGAACAAATCAGAATTTGACTTTGTATCAACTGTTAAGAAAACAGCAAATTAAAACATGTAGTGAAAATTACTTTTGATTCAATATGTGAAGTGAAGAATACAATTCATTGTCTGAATAGGATAATACATTTTGAAATGGATCTTTGGGTCACCTACAAATGGTTCTCATCGCTGACACAATCTGTGGTCTGTTTGGTGTAGCTATAAATGGTTCTCATCGCTGACACAATCTCTGTTTGTGCCTGTGTTCACTTTCCATCACAGAGTACCTCTCTAATCTGTGTGACACACTGAAGGACATCTCTGATCAAGAAGGCTGTCACTTGTCTAATCCAGCACACATAAAATCCAATCATGGGTGACATCTTTCTACCCACAGAGTTCAAATAACATGAACTATTAATGCCCATGTATATATATTTTGCTTGACGTTTATAGGTCAAAGGTTGTCACGTGTACACATCACTGTTGAATGTTCTGTAACAGAACACAACATTAGCATTATTAAGTTGACAATGAAGATTGACTAAAAATCCCTTATCCAATGCTGTTATAATAAGGTTTGGTATCACATGACTAATTGTCACATGACTTGCTGTCACATGACTAGAGTCAAACTATTAATGCAGATCTATTTACCTCTTGACATTGATGTTAATGAAAATGAAGAAAGACAACTCCAGTTAAACAAGCAGTGTACAGGGCTTGACAGTGATCTGACTTAACTACAAGAGATCCCAGAGGGATCTTGGCAGAAATAGCGATGATAATCATTACCTGCCAAATCCAAAATGGCCACTTGGAAGCCATTTTGTTTCTTTTGATAAGTCCCAAAATGAAATGGGCACAAGGAAAGACTAAATTGAACATACATATGAAATTTGAAAGATTTCCATAAACTACTTCTTAAGAAATAGTGATAACAAACTTTTTAAAGTCAAAATCCGAGACAGCCACTTGTGGGCCACTTTGTTTTTTCTGATCAGTACCAAAACCAAACTGGAACAACTAGGGATCAAGGGAAACATACACATGAAATCTGAGAAAGATCTATGTTGTAGAAACAGTGATAACAAACTTTCAAAATTAAAATCTAAAGGCTATTTTTCCTATCAGACCCAAAATCTAATGGGCACAACTAGAGACCACAGGGAATACATATGAAATTTAAGAGAGATCCATCCAGTTCTTTTCAAGAAATAGTGATAACAAAGTTTCAAAGTCAAAATCCAAGATGGCAGCGTTTCTGCCATTTTATTATTCTGATCAGACCCAAAATCAAATGGGCACAAGGGGAACCTACATTGAAAATTTGAGAAAGATCCATCCAGTACTTCTCAAGAATCAGCAATAACAAACTAGAAAAGTCCAAATCCAAGACAGCTACCTTTCAGCCATTTTGTTTTTCTGATCAGTTCCAAAATTAATTGGGCACAACAAGGGACCAAGGGGAATCTACATATAAAATTCATGAAAGATCCATCAAGTGCTTCTCAAGAAAAAGTGATAACAAACTTCGTTGCAAAAAATTAAAGATGGCGACCTATCGGCCATTCTGTTTTTCTGTTCAGTCCCAAAATGAAACGGATTTATTAAATACTTCTCAAGAAATAGCGATATCAAAAATTGTTTACAAATGCACAGACGGACGGATGGATCAGGGACACAAGGCAATTTGAATTGCGATAACAAAGAAATAACAATAACAAACAGATAAGGCTTGAGAGTGATCTGACTTAACTATAAAAGTACAAGAGTTTACTGCAGTAGTAATAATAGGAACATTTACAACACCATCCAAACTAATTTTATGTTAGGTTATTGTTAATAAGTTTGCATTATATTGCTCAACTAAATCAGTACTAAGTACTTTAAATCAGAGCGTGTCGTGCTCCCTCCACCAACTGCTCATGAAGGTAGACCAAATATGGTTTCAATAGGATTACAAAGAAAACATCAAAAGATGTTATTTGTTTGTTGGGGGTGACAGAAGATAAATATCAAAATTTTGAGATGTCCAAAGATGCTTGTGGCAAAAGATGATTAAAATGTTAAAAAATGTAAAAAAAAGTTTAAGCACAGCGCACCTGATGACCATCAGAACACACCCTAACTCGTCAGTTCTGGTGATCTAAAAAAGCCAGAACAACAGTGTTAGTCTACTCACCTATTCTTTTCCTGTGTTTCCTTAACAACTTTCTTAATTTTTTCCAAATCAGGCATGCGGCCAAAGTACGCCATGATCCGTATGTAGAGAACTCCTGCCCACATCTTCATCTTCTCCAGCTGTATGTTGTAATCATAAATAAAACGCTCCCACCAGGCTCGTACCCGCCCAGACAGTGACATGTGGAACTCTCCTGTTTTCTGACAGCCTGTTATAGCACTGTAACACACATGATACCAAACATTAGCACAATAAGATGGTGACTTTATGAGATAATACATTTTCCATAATTCTAGTCCTGGATGATTACTCCAATCAATTCATCAGAACTGCCTTGACCATGTTACAGAATGAGGTGATTCACTTTCACTGATTTTGACCAAGCTGACTGACAAAGCACTGACTGACATTGTTTGATTTCAACAGGGGCCAACTCCACCAAGTATATCATTGTCCAAATTCCACTGACTATTTCCGACCTTGGTTTTATGTGATTGATTTTATTCAATGACCTTTATCCAAGTTGACAGACATGGTGCTGATGTTAAATATTTTTAGCTAAGTTTAACAAACTTGACTAATGTTGAATTAAGTACATTGATTAATATTGAATGATGCTGACTGACATTAAACAACCTTGAACAATGTTGAATGAATGACCTTGATCTAAGGTACAAACCTCCTAGCCATGATTCCATATCTGTCTACCACATGTCCGTGTTCTCTACAGATAGCTCGAATAGTATTCATATTCCTGAAACACAAGACAATCACTAAACAACACAAAAAATATCAATACATTCCATAATGATAAACAATAATAAACATGTAATAATTATCGATATCAACTTTTCCTCTTTTTTTCATCCTTTTTTTTAACCTTTTTTGTTAATCTGTTATATAAAAATATGCAAATTAATTTGAACTTTTAAATTGTATAACTAGATGTACAACAGTTACAAATTCTATCTTTTAACAGAATTTCCCAAAATATCTCCCAGACTTAACAAATCTGCTGGCAAACATGACTTTGTAACTTGACCTCTGACATTGAAACTTAGCCTTGAACTTTGTAACTTAGTCTCAAACTTTGTAACTTGACCTCTGACTGCAATTTGTGTTCACTACTTGTATTAGCAGGACATGCTAGAAATATTGGTTTTACATAAAAACAGTACAGTGAAGTTTCCATGAAAATAAGGAAAATTGTATCCCAGAGAAAAAATTGAATTCCTAAATGACTTAATTCTGTGACCTTGACATTTAAATCAGTGTCATGATAATGGTCTCTCACACACACACAGTAGCAGTTGAAAATGACAACAATTTTTTACATTCCAAAAACAGAGCTTTTGACCTTTATTGTGACCTTGACCTTCAGCTTCCTACACATTCACAAATACTCCACAGAACATCTGGTGATTTGCTAGATAATTTTCTTCACGCTAGTAAAGTTAATTGAATAGAAGTTCTTATAACACAACGAGTAGAAGATTTGAAGGACTTAAATCTTTTATTGGTGATGTTAAAAGAACTTAATTCTATCTAGTGATACAATGTTTTCCCACATGTAACTTTCACTTTTCATCATTTTATTTCATTTTGTACTAACAACCAAATTGAAACATCATATGGAGCAGCATTTCCCCGGAGAATTTAATCAAGAATACAAGACGGTAGTGTACAGGCAGAGTATATAGCAGGAAAGTAGGAAGTGTTTTCTGACAGACCCTAACAGGTCACGCCCCCTGGCAACCAACCTGACAAGCAGCAGCATTGTCCGTGGCATATCTTTCAGGACAGCCATTATTTTGTCAAAGTGCTTTTGTGCCATGATTCTCATATGTTCTAGATCTTTATCAGTCATTCGGTTGGGGAGATGGAAACTGCGACGTAACACTGGCCTTTGTAGGAGAATTTCTCCAAATATCACATGATCTGATGAAATACAAGTCAACAGAGAATATCACATGATCTGATGAAATACAACAACATCTCATCAAGGACGAGACTCTCAAGTGTGATTCTGCTGTGTTGTCAACACAATCTATAACAAATCCTGTAAGCCAAGCAATTAGCTTTAAAATGAAAAGAAAATGAAACAGAAAAAAAAGGGAGACAAATTGAAACATTTACATCTCAAAGAAGGAATAAAAGCTGACATATGGTGATAAAACTTTCAGCAAAACTTGACACTAACTACCATGGTTATCATAGTGTTTAAAGACCTGTGTCTATACTGGTAACACCACTAACTACCATGGTTATCATAGTGTTTAAAGACCTGTGTCTATACTGGTAACACCACTAACTACCATGGTTATCAGTGTTTAAAGACCTGTGTCTATACTGGTAACACCACTAACTACCATGGTTATCAGTGTTTAAAGACCTGTGTCTATACTGGTAACACCACTAACTACCATGGTTATCAGTGTTTAAAGACCTGTGTCTATACTGGTAACACCACTAACTACCATGGTTATCATAGTGTTTAAAGACCTGTGTCTATACTGGTAACACCACTAACTACCATGGTTATCAGTGTTTAAAGACCTGTGTCTATACTGGTAACACCACTAACTACCATGGTTATCAGTGTTTAAAGACCTGTGTCTATACTGGTAACACCACTAACTACCATGGTTATCATAGTGTTTAAAGACCTGTGTCTATACTGGTAACACCACTAACTACCATGGTTATCAGTGTTTAAAGACCTGTGTCTATACTGGTAACACCACTAACTACCATGGTTATCAGTGTTTAAAGACCTGTGTCTATACTGGTAACACCACTAACTACCATGGTTATCAGTGTTTAAAGACCTGTGTCTATACTGGTAACACCACTAACTACCATGGTTATCAGTGTTTAAAGACCTGTGTCTATACTGGTAACACCACTAACTACCATGGTTATCATAGTGTTTAAAGACCTGTGTCTATACTGGTAACACCACTAACTACCATGGTTATCAGTGTTTAAAGACCTGTGTCTATACTGGTAACACCACTAACTACCATGGTTATCAGTGTTTAAAGACCTGTGTCTATACTGGTAACACCACTAACTACCATGGTTATCAGTGTTTAAAGACCTGTGTCTATACTGGTAACATCACTAACTACCATGGTTATAGTGTTTAAAGACCTCTGTCTATACTGGTAACACCACTAACTACCGTGATTATCATAGTGTTTAAAGACCTGTGTCTATACTGGTAACACCACCAACTACCATGGTTATCAGTGTTTAAAGACCTGTGTCTATACTGGTAACACCACTAACTACCATGGTTATCAGTGTTTAAAGACCTGTGTCTATACTGGTAACACCACTAACTACCATGGTTATCAGTGTTTAAAGACCTGTGTCTATACTGGTAACACCACTAACTACCATGGTTATCATAGTGTTTAAAGACCTGTGTCTATACTGGTAACACCACTAACTACCATGGTTATCAGTGTTTAAAGACCTGTGTCTATACTGGTAACACCACTAACTACCATGGTTATCAGTGTTTAAAGACCTGTGTCTATACTGGTAACACCACTAACTACCATGGTTATCATAGTGTTTAAAGACCTGTGTCTATACTGGTAACACCACTAACTACCATGGTTATCAGTGTTTAAAGACCTGTGTCTATACTGGTAACACCACTAACTACCATGGTTATCATAGTGTTTAAAGACCTGTGTCTATACTGGTAACACCACTAACTACCATGGTTATCAGTGTTTAAAGACCTGTGTCTATACTGGTAACACCACTAACTACCATGGTTATCATAGTGTTTAAAGACCTGTGTCTATACTGGTAACACCACTAACTACCATGGTTATCAGTGTTTAAAGACCTGTGTCTATACTGGTAACACCACTAACTACCATGGTTATCATAGTGTTTAAAGACCTGTGTCTATACTGGTAACACCACTAACTACCATGGTTATCAGTGTTTAAAGACCTGTGTCTATACTGGTAACACCACTAACTACCATGGTTATCATAGTGTTTAAAGACCTGTGTCTATACTGGTAACACCACTAACTACCATGGTTATCATAGTGTTTAAAGACCTGTGTCTATACTGGTAACACCATACAATACTTATAGTAAGAAATGGACCAGAATTCATCCTTTAAACTCCCACTCCTTCTGAGTTCTTTTTAAATCAATGGTTTTATTTTTGTTATCAATCACTGACTGATTAAAACTTGTAGAATCAGTGATTTTCGTGGGGCTCAAATCTTGTGAAAAAACTTATGTTTCATTCTGTTTAGATCTTTGAAATTTCAGAAAGATCCAACTTTTTAAACACTGACCAACCTTATTTTCTCAGCTAGTAGACAGGTTTAAAAAAAAAAAAAACAATGACGATTAATTACTTTGCCAACAGGCAGTTTGTTTTTTTTTAACTGATGACCATTAATTCCTCTGCCAATAGATAGGTTTTTTTCATAAAACTGATCACTGTTAAGTTATATGACACCAACTTCCATCAAATATTTTATCTTAAATAGGGACCGAATTAGATCATTAATATGTATCAGCACAGAGTGAGAATTTGAGAAAATTAGGAGAAATCAGCATATAAGCAACAACAAGAGATTTTTGCTCGAGAACAAAACTTCATATACAATGCTACTGCTTGGTTTGTCAGAGACCAGGATCTTACTAAAAGTAACAACCTTAGATATGTTGTTAAAGCATTACTCAAAACAAAATTCAGTAATTCCATATAAGCTTGAGGCTCAGTAGTACCCTTGACTACATCTGTAGGACTACCAACAATACTGTCTCAAGGTCTTGTAATAAGCCCTCACCCTGATTTTTGAGTCAGAGGTAACATATTGATAACCTTGGCTTACTGTAATAAGCCCTTGGCCTGACTTTGAATTAGAGTTAGTATGTTGGTACTCTGGGCTTACTGTAATAAGCCCAGTCCCTGACTTTGAGTTAGAGGTAGTATGTTGGTAATCTGGGCTTACTGTAATAATAAGCCCAGTCCCTGACTTTGAGTTAGAGGTAGTATGTTGGTACTCTGGGCTTACTGTAATAAGCCCTCAGCCTGACTTTGAGTTTGAGGTAGTATGCTGGTACTCTGGGCTAACTGTAATAAGCCCACTGCCTGACTTTGAGTTAGAGGTAGTATGTTGGTACTCTGGGCTTACTGTAATAAGCCCACTGCCTGACTTTGAGTTAGAGGTAGTATATTGGTACTCTGGGCTTACTGTAATAAGCCCACTGCCTGACTTTGAGTTAGAGGTAGTATGTTGGTACTCTGGGCTTACTGTAATAAGCCCACTGCCTGACTTTGAGTTAGAGGTAGTATGTTGGTACTCTGGGCTTACTGTAATAAGCCCACTGCCTGACTTTGAGTTAGAGGTAGTATGCTGGTACTCTAGGCTTACTGTAATAAGCCCACTGCCTGACTTTGAGTTAGAGGTAGTATGCTGGTACTCTAGGCTTACTGTAATAAGCCCAGTCCATGACTTTGAGTTAGAGGTAGTATGCTGGTACTCTAGGCTTACTGTAATAAGCCCACTGCCTGACTTTGAGTTAGAGGTAGTATGCTGGTACTCTAGGCTTACTGTAATAAGCCCACTGCCTGACTTTGAGTTAGAGGTAGTATGCTGGTACTCTGGGCTTACTGTAATAAGCCCACTGCCTGACTTTGAGTTAGAGGTAGTATGCTGGTACTCTGGGCTTACTGTAATAAGCCCACTGCCTGACTTTGAGTTAGAGGTAGTATGCTGGTACTCTAGGCTTACTGTAATAAGCCCAGTCCATGACTTTGAGTTAGAGGTAGTAACTTATACTGAGACTTATAATTCTAATCTGGTTTATACTCTTTCCAATAAAACATAAATAAATAATGCTCCAGAATGTGATTTTCCCATAAAACAATAGTACACTTTACCCACTCCCCTGGGGGAAATGCAAGACCCTCAGGTCATGAAATTTACAATTCTAGTAAAGCATCAAAAGGCCTTTCTATCCATAAAGAGTACTTGATCCTATCATATCTAGGATTGAGAAGAAGTTTCAATCAATTTGCTACTATTTCCCAGTTGTCCCTAGTTGGCAGACACACTGGTATTTAATTTCTAACATATCTATGAGTTGGAGTTCTTGTTTATATGCATTACAGATATATTTATTATCATCCACTTTGAAATGTTCACTTGGTATTTTATTTCATACTATTTTCATTGACTGCAAATATAGCATTAAATCCCCCACCAATATTTCCAACTACACAATGATTTGTTTTTCCATAAACATCAGAAAAACAATTTGTCAGTTGTTTCTGCTTAAATGAGCGAAGTTTTTCATAATCAGAATGAATTCTACATAATCTCATATTACTCGAGAAAGGTACCTGAAAATGAAATACAAGCACATAGGCATGTCTTTGAAGGTTTCTCGAAATCTTTCCCACATCTTTTCATAGTCCTCCTTCCACTCGACCTGGATGTCCTTCGGCAGCTTGTAAAACTCTCGTTTTGATGTTATATGATGACGAAAGAAAGAATGATTCCTGAACTTAATAGGACCCTGTTTTACCATCATAGAAAAAATCCGGTAATCTGGAAAACAACGCTCAGAACTGATAAAGTCTCACAGCCTGACATCTCACTTCAATAAAAAGTTCTGGAAGTTCATCATCAGGCTTTGTCAAAAGCTGAACTTCAAAAATAAATACATGAGTAGATTTACACAATATTTTAAATGAAAGACAGTGCAATATAAACAGGTTGTAAAATATAAAATAAGACATGCCTTTAATTCAGAAAGACAGCACTTCAATTTCTTTTGATGAGATTTACATGCACTGATTCCATAAACAATTAAAAAAATACATGGTGGAAAAAAAACTTGAAACAATGCTTAAATTTTTGGAGTATAGAGGTGATAATTCAATTTCAGCATGAGAAAATGATTCTCTAAAGACCTCTGAAAATCACCTACGTCGAATCACTTGTGACTATACACATAATCATCCATTAGCCACAGACATCAATTTTAACTCTTTATCTGAAAAGAAATTAATTTTTGGCTGACCTGTCTATCATCAATCTTGTGTAAAATTATTTCTTGATAATAAAACAGTATGAATGGTGTTGACAATACAAAGATTTCTAAATATTACTTAAGGGTGTATTCTACCTTACACATTATGCAATGTATGCTTCTATCCACAGTTATCTCCCTTTAAAATGGGTTATGTTATTCCTCGCTACTTTCATAATTTCCTTTTTTTTTCAACTTTTCTGTTGTGTAATCAATTGTTAAGAAAAATGTACATAAGTTCTGAATCTTTCTTAAGTCTAGATAATTTTTGAATTTCCATCAGAATGTTATTTAACTCCAGTGTATCTTTGGAAAGTCCAATTATCTAATTTATTTCAAATAAACATTTGAATTTTTTTCTGATTTACATTTATCTTAGTGTGAAACTGTTTTGTGTCGGCAAGTTACATCAGGACAGCATATGTCCTTAATTACTGAATTCATTTTTACAGTTAATTAATTTCAATAAATGATATTTGAGTTAGTTCCCTTTAAAAATGATTATTTCACCATCTGATATAAGAAAGCTGAACACACATACCTTCAACCCCGAGTTCAAGTGAATATTTCTTCATGTTTTCTTCGTTCTGCATAACAATAGCCTTGAACAGGTTACACAGGGATTGTCTATGGGAAGGAGTTAGGATATCATATAGGCCATGGTCCAGAAGGACAAGTTCTGCTTTTTGGTCTTTACCCTTCCGTACAAACACTGTAACACCAATTAGACAAATATATTCTGTGGTTCCAACTTTAATGGTTTCACAAAAAATAATTGTGATTTTCACAAAAGTCATATCATGCAATTCTCTATCAAAAATAGTCATAGAATAAAATCACTGAATACAACATCAATATCACATCAATATCACATCAATATCACATCAATACAACATCAATATCACATCAACATCACATCAATATCACATCAATATCACATCAACATCACATCAATATCACATCAATACAACATCAATATCACATCAATATCACATCAATATCACAACATCAATATCACATCAATACAACATCAATATCACATCAATACAACATCAATATCACATCAATATCACATCAATATCACATCAATATCACATCAATATAACATCAATATCACATCAATATCACATCAATATAACATCAATACAACATCAATATCACATCAATACAACATTAATATCACATCAATACAACATCAATACAACATCAATATCAGATCAATATCACATCAATATCACATCAATATCACATCACATCAATATCACATCAATATCACATCAATATCACATCAATACAACATCAATATCACATCAATATCACATCAATACAACATCAACATCACATCAATATCACATCAATATCACATCAATACAACATCAATATCACATCAATATCACATCAATATCACATCAATACAACATCAATATCACATCAATACAACATCAATATCACATCAATATCACATCAATACAACATCAATATCACATCAATATCACATCAATACAACATCAATATCACATCAATACAACATCAATATCACATCAATATCACATCAATACAACATCAATATCACATCAATACAACATCAATATCACATCAATATCACATCAATATCACATCAATACAACATCAATATCACATCAATATCACATCAATATCACATCAATATCACATCAATACAACATCAATATCACATCAATATCACATCAATATCACATCAATACAACATCAATATCACATCAATATCACATCAATATCACATCAATATCACATCAATACAACATCAATATCACATCAATATCACATCAATATCACATCACATCAATATCACATCAATATCACATCAACATTACATCAACATCACATCAATATCACATCAATATCACATCAATACAACATCAACATCACATCAATATCACATCAATATCACATCAATACAACATCAATATCACATCAATATCACGTCAACATCACATCAATACAACATCAATATCACATCAATACAACATCAATATTACATCAATATCACATCAATACAACATCAATATCACGTCAACATCACATCAATACAACATCAATATCACATCAATACAACATCAATATCACATCAATACAACATCAATATCACATCAACATCACATCAATATCACATCAACATCACATCAATACAACATCAATATCACATCAATACAACATCAATATCACATCAATATCACATCAATATCACATCAACATCACATCAATACAACATCAATATCACATCAATATCACATCAATACAACATCAACATCACATCAATATCACATCAATATCACATCAATACAACATCAATATCACATCAATATCACATCAATATCACATCAATACAACATCAATATCACATCAATACAACATCAATATCACATCAATATCACATCAATATCACATCAATATCACATCAATACAACAACAATATCACATCAATATCACATCAATACAACATCAATATCACATCAATACAACATCAATATCACATCAATATCACACCAATATCACATCAATATCACATCAACATCACATCAATACAACATCAATATCACATCAATACAACATCAATATCACATCAATATCACATCAATATCACATCAATATCACATCAACATCACATCAATACAACATCAATATCACATCAATATCACATCAATATCACATCAACATCACATCAATACAACATCAATATCACATCAATACAACATCAATATCACATCAATATCACATCAATATCACATCAACATCACATCAATACAACATCAATATCACATCAAATCAATATCACATCAATACTACATCAAAATCACATCAATATCACATCAATATCACATCAACATCACATCAATACAACATCAATATAACAGCAATATCACATATTTGACGTGAAATATTGAGAAATATCTCCTATGAAAAGAGAGAGCACAAATTATCTTATAAAACTGACAAATCATAGATCCTGTTACAAAAAACACAAAACCAGAAACCTGAAAGTTTACTAGTAAGACAACATTCTATCCATGTTAAGCTTGTTAATGATTTAGCCAGTGTATGTCAGAAACACAACATTCTATCCATGTTAAGCTTGTTAATGATTTAGCCAGTGTATGTCAGAAACACAACATTCTATCCATGTTAAGCTTGTTAATGATTTAGCCAGTGTATGTCAGAAACACAACATTCTATCCATGTTAAGCTTGTTAATGATTTAGCCAGTGTATGTCAGAAACACAACATTCTATCCATGTTAAGCTTGTTAATGATTTAGCCAGTGTATGTCAGAAACACAACATTCTATCCATGTTAAGCTTGTTAATGATTTAGCCAGTGTATGTCAGAAACACAACATTCTATCCATGTTAAGCTTGTTAATGATTTAGCCAGTGAATGTCAGAAACACAACATTCTATCCATGTTAAGCTTGTTAATGATTTAGCCAGTGTATGTCAGAAACACAACATTCTATCCATGTTAAGCTTGTTAATGATTTAGCCAGTGTATGTCAGAAACACAACATTCTATCCATGTTAAGCTTGTTAATGATTTAGCCAGTGTATGTCAGAAACACAACATTCTATCCATGTTAAGCTTGTTAATGATTTAGCCAGTGTATGTCAGAAACACAACATTCTATCCATGTTAAGCTTGTTAATGATTTAGCCAGTGTATGTCAGAAACACAACATTCTATCCATGTTAAGCTTGTTAATGATTTAGCCAGTGTATGTCAGAAACACAACATTCTATCCATGTTAAGCTTGTTAATGATTTAGCCAGTGTATGTCAGAAACACAACATTCTATCCATGTTAAGCTTGTTAATGATTTAGCCAGTGTATGTCAGAAACACAACATTCTATCCATGTTAAGCTTGTTAATGATTTAGCCAGTGTATGTCAGAAACACAACATTCTATCCATGTTAAGCTTGTTAATGATTTAGCCACTGTATGTCAGATGTATGGTAAATTTGATACATTAGTGTATGTCAGTAAAGTTCTGAGTAAATTTTGTATCATTATCAGCAGGCTGGTATGCATCATAGTATAATTTCCTGAGTTTAACAATACATGTGGTGAGATGTTACAGTTTCCTAAGTGTAACACTACAAGTGAGGAGGGTGTAACATCATTCCAAAGGTGTAACTACAGGTGAAGAGACCATACAGTACCTGTGTGTAACACTACAGGTGGAGAGACCTTACAGTTTCCTGTGTGTAACACTACAGGTGAAGAGACCATACAGTACCTGTGTGTAACACTACAGGTGAAGAGACCATACAGTACCTGTGTGTAACACTACAGGTGGAGAGACCTTACAGTTTCCTGTGTGTAACACTACAGGTGAAGAGACCATACAGTACCTGTGTGTAACACTACAGGTGGAGAGACCAGACAGTTTCCTGTGTGTAACACTACAGGTGAAGAGACCAGACAGTTTCCTGTGTGTAACACTACAGGTGGAGAGACCATACAGTTTCCTGAGTGTAACACTACAGGTGAAGAGACCATACAGTTTCCTGTGTGTAACACTACAGGTGGAGAGACCTTACAGTTTCCTGTGTGTAACACTACAGGTGAAGAGACCAGACAGTTTCCTGTGTGTAACACTACAGGTGAAGCGACCATACAGTTTCCTGTGTGTAACACTACAGTTAAAGAGACCATACAGTTTCCTGTGTGTAACACTACAGGTGGAGAGACCTTGCAGTTTCCTGTATGTAACACTACAGGTGGAGAGACCTTACAGTTTCCTGTGTGTAACACTACAGGTGAAGAGACCATACAGTTTCCTGTGTGTAACACTACAGGTGAAGCGACCATACAGTTTCCTGTGTGTAACACTACAGGTGGAGAGACCTTGCAGTTTCCTGTATGTAACACTACAGGTGGAGAGACCTTACAGTTTCCTGTGTGTAACACTACAGGTGAAGAGACCATACAGTTTCCTGTGTGTAACACTACAGGTGAAGCGACCATACAGTTTCCTGTGTGTAACACTACAGGTGAAGAGACCATACAGTTTCCTGTGTGTAACACTACAGGTGAAGAGACCATACAGTTTCCTGTGTGTAACACTACAGGTGGAGAGACCTTACAGTTTCCTGTGTGTAACACTACAGGTGGAGAGACCAGACAGTTTCCTGTGTGTAACACTACAGGTGAAGAGACCAGACAGTTTCCTGTGTGTAACACTACAAGTGAGGAGGGTGTAACATCATTCCAAGGGTGTAACTACAGGAGAAGAGACCATACAGTACCTATGTGTAACACTACAGGTGGAGAGACCTTACAGTTTCCTGTGTGTAACACTACAGGTGAAGAGACCAGGCAGTTTCCTGTGTGTAACACTACAGGTGAAGAGACCATACAGTTTCCTGTGTGTAACACTACAGGTGAAGCGACCATACAGTTTCCTGTGTGTAACACTACAGGTGAAGAGACCAGACAGTTTCCTGTGTGTAACACTACAGGTGAAGAGACCATACAGTTTCCTGTGTGTAACACTACAGGTGAAGTGACCATACAGTTTCCTGTGTGTAACACTACAGGTGAAGAGACCATACAGTTTCCTGTGTGTAACACTACAGGTGGAGAGACCTTACAGTTTCCTGTGTGTAACACTACAGGTGAAGAGACCATACAGTTTCCTGTGTGTAACACTACAGGTGAAGAGACCTTACAGTTTCCTGTGTGTAACACTACAGGTGAAGAGACCAGACAGTTTCCTGTGTGTAACACTACAGGTGGAGAGACCAGACAGTTTCCTGTGTGTAACACTACAGGTGAAGAGACCATACAGTTTCCTGTGTGTAACACTACAGATGAAGAGACCAGACTGTTTCCTGTGTGTAACACTACAAGTGAGGAGGGTGTAACATCATTCCAAGGGTGTAACTACAGGTGAAGAGACCATACAGTACCTATGTGTAACACTACAGGTGGAGAGACCTTACAGTTTCCTGTGTGTAACACTACAGGTGAAGAGACCAGACAGTTTCCTGTGTGTAACACTACAGGTGGAGAGACCTTACAGTTTCCTGTGTGTAACACTACAGGTGAAGAGACCATACAGTTTCCTGTGTGTAACACTACAGGTGGAGAGACCATACAGTTTCCTGTGTGTAACACTACAGGTGGAGAGACCTTACAGTTTCCTGTGTGTAACACTACAGGTGAAGAGACCATACAGTTTCCTGTGTGTAACACTACAGGTGGAGAGACCATACAGTTTCCTGTGTGTAACACTACAGGTGGAGAGACCTTACAGTTTCCTGTATGTAACACTACAGGTGGAGAGACCATACAGTTTCCTGTAACACTACAGGTGGAGAGACCTTACAGTTTCCTGTGTGTAACACTACAGGTGGAGAGACCTTACAGTTTCCTGTATGTAACACTACAGGTGGAGAGACCATACAGTTTCCTGTATGTAACACTACAGGTGGAGAGACCATACAGTTTCCTGTGTGTAACACTACAGGTGAAGAAGGTGTATCATCAATGTTTTCCAGGGGGTACAAGAATCTTACCGTTTCCAGGGTGAGGATCAGCATGAACAAATCCAGTGAGAAATATCTGCTCTGAGAAGCATTTTACCAGTTTCTGATCCACCTGGCCAACATAACAAGGAGGAGATAATTGTTCTTTATTAGTACATCCATTTATTACAGGAGTATTTCTATATCACAATCAGTGGGTAATGTACAAAGGACAATCTAGTGGTACAAAGGACAATCTAGTGGTACAACTTCCTACATATATATAAATTTAGAATAAGATATAACATAGCCAATTAATGGAATCAACAGAATTATCGGCAGTTTCATACTTGCAGCAATCATCAATGTTGTTTGGTGATGAAATTGTAAAGTACAGTAGGTGATTTACGAAAAAAGGCAGAAATCTAATGATAACAAAGTATCACAAACACTAGAAATCCTTCATGGTTCCACCTTCACTTATGTGTAATAAAGAAGATGATGAAGTACATAAATTCCCAGAATACTGAAGCAACAAGAGTGCTGGCAATGATTTTCTAAAAATAGTTACAGTGACCTTGACCTTGAAATATGAATTCCTTGGTGATATTATGGTCCTATATTAATAGTGAAGTCAGTCCAAAATCCTTCAGGAATAATGCCCATTAAGTCACTTTCAAACTTGCTCTTAAGGAATGAAGCCTCCACGGCTTTCACAAGGATGTGGTAACATTGGCTTTCAACCTAAAACCATTAAGTTTGTCGTGACCTTTAATAAATGTGTGGAGTTTGATCAAAATTTCTTAAGGAATGAAGTTGCTCGAGTGGTGGCAAGGATGTTTGCGAAGTTTTGTAAATAATTATTAAAATGACTTTACTTACGTCTTTCAGAGAGAGACCCATATCTTTGATCGCACCAGAGTTGCTGACCTTACAGCCTTCAATGTATTCTGTAGTTAGTACTCTCTGAGAATAGATAACATGTTTTATATAAAGATTACATATTGTAAAATCACATCTTTTTGTGGAGCTATATTTTCATGGATTTTCAAAAAAGACTTTTTCATGGACACTTGATTTTGTGAATTAATACACCCCAATAGGTTTACATATTTTTCTTCTTACACTTTGTGGGCACATAAATTCATGGATAAAAAATCCCTACAAAGTCAATGAAAATAAATACCACGACAATTTTCAAATACATACAAATCCTCAACAAAAACTCTGTGTTGACTTCCATAAATTTCACTTAACAATAAAAGTAATGAAAGAAATTGTAGGGATTGGTCCACAAGGACCCTGCTCACCGTCTGTACAAACTTAGTCAGTACAAGTAGGAAATGATAATAAATAATGGGTGTAGGGATTGGTCCACAAGGACCCTGCCCACCGTCTGTACAAACTTAGTCAGTACAAGTAGGAAATGATAATAAATAATGGGTGTAGGGATTGGTCCACAAGGACCCTGCCCACCGTCTGTACAAACTTAGTCAGTACAAGTAGGAAATGATAATAAATAATAGGTGTAGGGATTGGTCCACAAGGACCCTGCCCACCGTCTGTACAAACTTAGTCAGTACAAGTAGGAAATGATAATAAATAATAGGTGATCCAACACTCCTAATGTAGAACTTTGCGGTAGTATCTTCGGTCGGATCCTAGGGATTCGATAGAGTTCCTTACTAATAAAACATAATCAAAATCAAAAAGGAAACTCAACAACACGAAGACTTTAGTGAAATTGCCGACATGTTTCGACCGCTATGCGGCCGTCATCAGGACAAATTTTTAGTTTTAGCAGTGTGGCCACTGATTTACAAGATGAACTTCCGAGTTCCCTACAAAACCGAGAAATCTCTATACATAGAGTATACGGAATCTTTCAGTCATTTTATATTTGAACAATGTATTGTTGCTACGTCATCTAACTATGACGTCATAAATGTCTGTCTTAACCGCATTTCTTTACCTTAGCTGTCTAGATCAAATAAAATTTGTCCTGATGACGGCCGCATAGCGGTCGAAACATGTCGGCAATTTCACTAACGTCTTCGTGTTGTTGAGTTTCCTTTTTTATTTTGATTTAGTAGGAAATGATAACAAAATTTTAATCAGGTGTGAAAGACAAACATCTGACAAGAGTACCGCAAAGCGGAACAAAACACGCCCGTGAATATCCAAAACAAAGAGGATAATTCCAGAATTACAGTCCTCCACCTGGTGTACTTTGATGGAAGTCAAAGGTCGAATAGAAGAAACAAATTGGTATTCATGTGAGATAAACCATTTACATAGAAAAGCTGATATACAGTATAAGTATACAGGTTAATATACAGTAAGTTTCAGAAAGATTTCTTAAAAACAAGAGGCCCATGGGCCTTAACGGCCATCTGACAAAAAGCAAGCCAAACTCTTAACAACAGTGAGTCTGCCATTACAACAGTGGGCTTTATTCATTTGAATAAATTTGGTAGCCCTTCCTCCCAGCATCCTACAGGCCCAATATCAGCACTCTGAGCCTTTTGGTTACTGAGAAGAAGTCGTTTACAGATTTTAACATATTTGAACCCTGTGGGTCAAGGTCATTCACTTGAGCACATTTGGTAACACTTCCTCCCAGCATCCTACAGGCCCAATATCAGCACTCTAATCATTTTGGTTATTGAGAAGTCATTTGCATATTTTAATATATTTGACCCCTGTGACCTTGAAAGTGGGTCAAGGTCATTCATTTGAACAAACTTTGTAGGGCTCCAAGCCAGCATGCTATGGCCAAGTATTAGCCCCCTAGGCCTTCTAGTATTTGAGAAGAAGTGTTTTGAATGAAAAGTTTACGGATGACGCGCGGCGGACAACGACGGACGAAGCACGATGGCTATAGGTCTTCTCGAACCTTCGGGTCAGATGACCTAATAAAAGAGATCACTAGACTAGATTTATATAGCTAAATCAAAAACTCTTCGAAATAAACTCAAATCAAACTGGCTTTCGGGAGTAAAAAAGAATATACCTAAATGTTAACAAAATGGTAATACAAACTGCAAAGTCCAGTAAAACATGGGCAAAACTGAAACAAAGGCAAGGTCTACATTGTACATGGAGACTCAATGAAAAACTAAAAGGAGAAGAAGAACAGGTGTTCTTGAAGAGTAAGAATAATCTGCTTCATTGGTTACATCCGCTGTGTAGACCTACGTCAATTTGACAGTAAAGTCATCAAATATGGACCAGCATTGTAAAGAGCCTTCTGGTGTATTGTTTGTGGCTGAAGATGTACAAATTGGTTTGGCATGATGCACACCACATGAAAACATAACTTCATGTCATGATGATCAAGTTTCATAAAGATTGGTTGAAAAAAGTAGGAGGAATTTATGAAATGATCCTAAGACGTTTCTGTTTTACAAAGCCTTTGGCAAGGTAAAATGAAAAATTTGACGCGAATTTCATAAATCTCACATCAAATGGAAACAAATCTAAGATCCTTTTCATCACATGATCACATATTCACTCAAATTTATCGTAAAAATATTGAGTGATTGAATACTTTTGGAATGGTTCTGTATATATCATCTAATTAACCCCCATTCAGAAAAATAAAATCATGTTATAAAGATTAAACCTACAAAAATTCATAAACATCGGTTAGAGGAAATATTCAGACAAGATTTTTGTATTTCATATCATGGTGATTAAGCATACAAACTTTCATAAAAATCGGCTGAAAAATGTAGGAGATCTCCGGACAAGATTTCTATAGTGAAATAAACAAAGGGGCATAACTCTTATTCAAATTGTCTAATCAAAACCCTGTTCATGAAAACACAATCTCATATCATGGTGATTAAGCCTACCAAGTTTCATAAAGATCGGCTGAAAAATGTAGGAGGAGATCTCCGGACAAGTAAAAGTTTACGACGGACATCACACACCAGACGGACGGACATCACCATACCATATTACGTCCGTCTTTCGATGGGCGTATAAAAAGTTGTTCACTCAGCATGAACAGTTGAGATGAAATATTGAGTTATGTGTACTGAGTTATGTGTACTGAGACATACCGGCACAAATACATCAAGGTATATAGATTGTAACACAGACAGATATCTGGACAGACAGGTACATAAGCTGTAACACAGACAGATATCTGGACAGACAGGTACATAGACTGTAACACAGACAGACAGATATCTGGACAGACAGGTACATAGACTGTAACACAGACAGACAAATATCTGGACAGACAGGTACATAGACTGTAACACAGACAGATATCTGGACAGACAGGTACATAGACTGTAACACAGACAGACAGATATCTGGACAGACAGGTACATAGACTGTAACACAGACAGATATCTGGACAGACAGGTACATAGACTGTAACACAGACAGACAGATATCTGGACAGACAGGTACATAGACTGTAACACAGACAGATATCTGGACAGACAGGTACATAGACTGTAACACAGACAGACAGATATCTGGACGGACAGGTACATAGACTGTAACACAGACAGACAGATATCTGGACAGACAGGTACATAGACTGTAACACAGACAGACAGATATCTTACTTTGGTAGTCATGTTCCAGTATATCGTAGGTACATAAACATAGTTCAGGTGTTGGAGATCCTTTAAGCATCGCTCTCCATTTTTACCTTCATTGACAAAGTCCAACTCCAACTCCAGAGTTCCTTTTAAATCCTGGAATAAAGTAAATATGTCAGGTAAACTTAAACTTTCACCAGGCTATCTTACAACAAAATGGTAAAAATTAGGAGCCACAGAAAATCTGATTATACTATATCTAACTTCAAACAAATAAAGAGATTGTTTTAGTTTCCAAATATTGGCCTTTGACCTGAATCATAGGAAACATGTGAGTAAATTCCCATTGTTTCAAATAAGAATATGTACCTGTTGCTGCATTGTTACATACTGGGTTCTCTCTGGAGAATGTGAAATTTTGATGGCACTGACGACACATACCCTTCAGCCTGACTACCCCTGTACTTTTTCTAGTGTAATTATATAAAACATTCCCTTGTTTAAAATCAATTCTGAGTTTGAATTATAATTTTTGTTAACTTATCACTGATACTGACTTAATGAAGCAGAAATGACCGAGATCATTTCCCTGTGAGATAATCCAGGGCGGAATATTCCATCACTAAAACATGGAACCTGAATCTGACATGAAAAATAAAGAAGAATTACCTATCTAATATGGTAAAAACTTATTAAAAACTATATAAACTAAATGTCAAGTTTCCTACCTGAAGCGCCCATGCGAACCCAAACTTGGGATGTAGCCAGCCAATCAACTCCAGTATAATCTCACAGGTTTTGATATCACCATAGAAACGGTCCTGGAGGTCAATATACTGGACCTGTACAGACAGGAAGGAGAAAATCTCATATAATTAAACATTTACCAATCACATAGTCTGCCGCCCATTTTTATAATGCCACATGCTAGTTCTCAACATCCTGCATTGTAATGACGTTGGACACAATTTCAAAATTTGACATTACTGCATGACAGACTTATATTTTCATGATGGGCAAAATAGATGTTGCAAAAATCATTTTAAATACAGTCCTTAAATGACAAAAAATGGGGATTGTCTCAAGGGGATTGTCTCAATGGGATCAAAGTGGATGTTTGTGTATTTGGAGGGAATCTGTTTTTAAAATTATTGGATGACAGTATCAGGGGAGAAGATCACGGAAGACGGATGCACTACACAATTGTAAAATATTGCTCAATCAAAACTTATTTCCATAAACAATGTTTCATTTTGAAACTATAATTTTCGAAGCCACATTTGAAAGAATTCATCAATACCTGGTTGCATGAAAACATGACCGTCATAAATTCATCACAATAAATAGATGTGTCAGTTATTTACAGAGAAACAACATGATTTTGTTCCTACCTTGACAGCCACTTTCTCTCCTTTCTTTGTCACAGCTCTGTGAACTTGAGCAAGACTAGCAGCAGCAATGGGTTCTTCCTCAAACTCGGCAAACATCTCTTGTGGAGTCATGCCGAAGTCTTCCTTGAACAGTTGTTCTACCTGATCAAACAACACAAACTTTCCATATCACATATTTTATTTCACATAATATTAGCCTCGGATATTCAAACTTCTGGTAGATCTCAGCAGTGTCTTTAGGGTCTTCAGTTTACTTCAATATTTCATGATTTTCTCATAAATGTATTCATATTGAAAAACAGACAATTTTATGAAATTACAGTTCCACATCAAATGTGAAATTATAAGCGAAATAAAGCTTTTCTTTCAAGTAGGTCAAAGGTCAAAATGTAGGTCAGAGTAACCTACTTTTGATAAATGACACATCCCCAGGTGAAGACATACCCAAAGTATGAAGTTCCAGTAAAGAGTAATGTAGGAGAGATTGAGTCTGAACAATATGGAAGGACAGATGGCACAAAAGAAACCTATAGCACCCCCTCCTTCCCTTTTTTCCTGAATTCTACATTAACAGATTAATGTCCTTGTGAGAAAATGCTAACTGCTTTATTTTTAGAAGAAATAAACTAAATATTCTATAATTCATTAGATCAAAGGAATAGGAATCAATTTTTGTCAAAACCAATTAATACAACAGGACTGTTTGTTTGTGCATAAGGAATGTATTATCATAAACAATATGGTGTCCCACATGAAGTCATAAAAAAAAGAGGATTAAGACAGGAAGTCAGTATAACCAACGAAAGATTTCAAACAGTGAAATAATTACAGCAGGAATGAGGAAACAATCGATGGTCAACATTAAAAAGTTGATAAGTAAGTGTGCATTATGAAGAAGGCTCTAAAATGGAAAATGTGATGTGGAATGACAAATTTTTTTAGATACTGAATGTTATGCTGCTTTTAAATAGAAAATTACAATCATTAACAAATGCATGCTTGCAGTCTTTACCACTGCTGTTAATGCAAATTATTTATATTGTCACAAACAAAGAGGACTGTCTTGTTTTGAATATTACAGTTAGGCAAACAGCCTGAAGTCGCCATGTCATAGTAAGGTAGCATACATCTTTAAGTCGCCATGTCACAGTAAGGTAGCATACATCTTGAAGTCTTCATGTCAAAGTTCCGTAGCATACACCTTTAAGTCTTCATGTCACAGTAAGGTAGCATACACCTTTAAGTCTTCATGTCACAGTAAGGAAGCATACATCTTTAAGTCTTCATGTCACAGTAAGGTAGCATACATCTTTAAGTCTCCATGTCACAGTAAGGTAGCATACACCTTTAAGTCTTTATGTCACAGTAAAGTAAGATACATCTTTATGTCGCCTTGTCACAGTTCGGTAGAATAAATACAAGCATCCTGAAATCTACATGACATATTTACAAGTTAAAGTATTGTTTTCAGAAATTTAGCTTGACCAACACAAATGTTAGTTTCCAGTATATCACTGATGTATTACCTCATGGGGCTGCCTGCTGAGGGCTTTGTCCTGGAGTACAACCAGTGATTCAATGTATTCTCGGGGCAGGATGTGGTTCATAGATACCATGCCCTGTCCTAATTTAACATATAAACCACCGTTCTGAAGACACCCTACCAGCATCCTCTCTGCAGCCCGCTTATGGCAGGGTCGGATGGCATGATCATACTCTTCCGACATCTCGTCTAGATTCCAAAGGCTCCATTTATAGTCAGCAGATATAAGAAGTCCTATCTTTAATGACCTGTGGGGACAAAATATATAGCATTACAGGCAACATCAGACAAATTTTATTTCCGTCTTGGTCATGACTGATAGTGACAAAGACAAATACGAATCGTGGATCGTGAGATCACTTCAGACTACCAAATATCTGGATAGATGTCTGCAAATAAATCCTAATTACTTATTCCAATTATTTTTATGTCTTTTTAATTTTATATCTAACGATCAAAGAATCAGATCCATGTTTTTCCATGAGAATTATTCCAAACATTGAATTTTTTTTTACATTAAAAAGGTGGCAATAATTAATGCTGTAACTTATATGAAATTTCACTATGATTTTTTAAATCTTTATAGAATAACTATATATGGTGATTTGAAAATTTTGAAAAGGGCACTTATCATGTATCATGGACTTAAAAGATATGTTCTTGCAAAAAGCCAAAAAATAGAATGCATTTATGGCAAAAAATATTTTCTTTCCTTTAAATGGTGTAGTAGTAAATGTAATATCAAAACTGTCATTTTTTACTCTTTTTTTCCCCTTTAAATTACTACATGTTAATATATTCAGAATGCATATTATATGTTAAAAACTATTCTCACCGTAAAAATCTGACACAGCCACCTAGTAACACACGAATTTTACGTCTGTTCTGTTCTGTGAGAGAGATGTAGTAAGCACCAAATCCAAGCGATCCTAGACCTAAACTTGCTATAAAATACTTGGTTTTACGATATTTCACTATGGTCTTTGTCTTTGTAGTCACTTCATTTATCGTGCACAAGTTGATCTTGGTTTGTGTGAAATTTCTAACCACTTGACCACATTTAGAGCATTTGAAGGCAATGGTCGGTCGTAGTGAGGAAGCCGTTTTAACTCTATGTAAGGTTGAAGCTGCAATCTGTTCTGTTAGACTGGATGCAAATCTTAATGAATGCATCCTGTCTCAATTTTCAACTTCTGCTTCACTTAAGTTTAGATGAGGAAATAGCATTCCCTGTAACACATGGAAACATGTAATTAATACATAGTTGATACACAGAGTTTGATATTTTCGTCCATCTGTATGATTTTAATTTCAAGTGCAAGCATTCAGGTATTCTTAAAAATCCTATTTTTAAGACAGGTTCAGATTTAAGATCTTCAAAAGCTGCCTTTCCAGATCACTATTTGCAAAGTTGGTTTCATGACTAGATAAAAATTTTGGGAATTTTTTAAACTTAAGCTCCTTCTGGTCTATAAGTACATGCTTAGTCAACGACACATGCTGATTTCAAAAAATATTTTTCCATCTCAAATATAGTTTCAGCTAATTCAGAACAAACTTCTTAAAATAATTCTCCCATTTAGAAGCATGTCACACAATTATAACTGAACCTGGATGGATCTCTGAGGTAATGGCCTATACAGAACCACTACTGAGAGATCTGTGGAAGTCTCTTTCAGCCTTGGAATCTTTATGGTGTTGAGGTGATGGACACAGTGATATTACTGATAGATCTGTGGAAGTCTCTTTCAGTCTTGGAATCTTTATGGTGTTGAGGTGATGGACACAGTAATATTACTGATAGATCTGTGGTGTGAAATAAAAGAAACTTACATCTGATATTTGATGATCTGTATTTATTGATAAAAAATATATTCACAGTAGAGTAAAGCATTGATACTTGAAATTCACCTGCAGCTAACTATCAGTTGCACAGACCAGAAAGGCTCCAGCTAGCAAAACCATTAACAGTCTAAAATTCAAGAGAATTCCACTTTTGGAGTTAACTCAAAAGGCAGCTATGAAATCTTTCCCTCAGTCGTTCACTTTTATTTCTTTCGCATAACATTTTTTATCTAAATTTAAAAGTTACTGTTTTTGCTGGATAGTTGAAAACTGAAAAGTTTTGAAGTCAACCTTCAAGTTATAAATATCATGTAATTTTGTGCAGCTGTTTCATCATTGCATACTGTCACTGAGCACGGCCACAAGATCTTATTCAATAGTAGACAATACTGACAATTAAAGAATCTTAAACGATCAACACCTACAGGCTGCATGTAAAACATATCATGTGTTTTAAGGAGATGTAGGATTGTCAGGGAAGTCTCGTTAGAAAAACTGCCGGCTGGCCGAGACTTAAAAAACTGTTAATGGACCAGTACAGTTAGAAACTAGACAAAAAGCTTGGCGTTACACAACTTACCCAATAGGTAGCAATGAATCAAATTGAAAAGACGATTCACTTCTGAGCAACCATGATCGTTGAAAAAGACTGATGCACTGAAATCAGGCCATTTTTCCTGTTTTTAATGCAAGTTGTCGTCCGCTGCCCGACAATTGCGGTCGCCTATCTTCTGCTATCGGGTTATCTATTCAGTTAAGTAACAACACACTGACCTTCTCCAAGTCGCATTGAAGAGTTCCTCGGGGGGACTAAAATCTAGAGTTATCTCTCTTCGCTCGTCGTAAATTTTCTTATCCTCTTGAGATACTTAAGACTGCTGCTGTTGATGATTATGATGATGATGGTGAAGACGATGATGATGGTGATGATGATGATCATCATAGCTCGAGAATATAATGTATGCAAAAATGAATGAAGATGTACTTGTGAATGAATGATCTAAAAATCACAAATGGATACCTGTCCGAGTGTAAATGTGTTTTATGTCATGTTTTATACGTTAGAATGATTGTTTTAAAGTATATCGGCGAAATTTTGAATGCCCTGTTCCGTGTAACTTTGATAAGGGGGATACAGAGAGCGACAGTGAGTGTAAACCATGGAGTATCGAGGATGTTTCCGGGGATACAGAGAGCGACAGTGAGTGTAAACCATGGAGTATCGAGGATGGTTCCCGGGATACAGAGATCGACAGTGAGTGTAAACCTTGGTATCGAGGATGGTTTCAGGGGTACAGAGACGGATAGTGATCGTAACCCATGGAGTATCGAGGATGGTTCCAGGTGTACAGAGAGCGACAGTGAGTGTAAACCATGGAGTATCGAGGATGGTTCCAGGGGTACAGAGATCGACAGTGAGTGTAAACCATGGAGTATCGAGGATGGTTACCGGGATACAGAGATCGACAGTGAGGGGTACAGAGACGGATAGTGATCGTAACCCCTGGAATATCGAGGATGGTTCCAGGGATACAGAGATCGACAGTGAGTGTAAACCATGGAGTATCGAAGATGGTTCCAGGGATACATAGATCGTTAGTGAGTGTAAACCATGGATTATCGAGGATGATTCCAGGGATACAGAGATCGACAGTGAGTGTAAACCATGGATTATCGAGGATGGTTACCGGGATACAGAGATCGACAGTGAGTGTAGCCCCTGAAGTATCGAGGATGGTTTCGGGGTACAGAGAGGGATATAGTGATCGTAACCCCTGGAATATCGAGGATGGTTCCAGGTGTACAGAGATCGACAATGAGTGTAAACCATGGAGTATCGAGGATGGTTCCAGGGATACAGAGATCGACAGTGAGGGGTACAGAGACGGATAGTGATCGTAACCCCTGGAATATCGAGGATGGTTCCAGGGATACAGAGATCGACAGTGAGTGTAAACCATGGAGTATCGAAGATGGTTCCAGGGATACATAGATCGTTAGTGAGTGTAAACCATGGATTATCGAGGATGGTTCCCGGGATACAGAGATCGACAGTGAGGGGTACAGAGACGGATAGTGATCGTAACCCCTGGAATATCGAGGATGGTTCCAGGGATACAGAGATCGACAGTGAGTGTAAACCATGGAGTATCGAAGATGGTTCCAGGGATACATAGATCGTTAGTGAGTGTAAACCATGGTGTTACCCCTCTATGTTGTACTATCCTTATGTTATACAAAAGACCAGCAACAACCGTTCTCAAGTACAAATGTTGAGTATTAACACAAGTTACAACAATGATAACATGTATGGCCTGAGTATCGAGCTTAACAAGTTACTCCTTCCACGGCCACACCAGGACTGACTCTATTTGCTGTGATCTTACAGTTTATCCTAAAGCAATTATAATCTAATTCTGATAGGGAAAGTGTCTTCTACTGATCTACAATTAAACCGTGACCAGTTAATGTCTCCATGGTGGAGAGCATGTCCAGCCAATGTTTCACGGCATGATTCTGACACTAAGGTGACCGCAATTAAACTATCTGTCTGATAAGCCAGCCGGTCACATTAAGATTTAACACAAATTATGTTCTACACTTGAGTGACAAATTTCACTATTAACATCCCCCTGCCTAAGAAAACTTTTACGGTCTAAAAGTTCAGAGATAGCAAACTGCTCATGATACTCAGGCTGAGATAATATTTAGTATGTACACAAACACTGGTAAGTTTACTTGAACAACAGTTAATTCTAAATTCTACAATATACTGTTAACTTCCTTGGATAAGGTACTTCTGTTAGACTGTCACTGTTTGTTCTTAAGGTATACACATAACAAAAACCTGAAAACACATGTCCGTGTTCACAACTGATGATACATCCAGAGTCAGTGTTCCCCCTTTTTTCTTCTTCTTCTTCTTTGTTCGAGACAGTGGCCCAACAATATCCATAGATATTTTGTAAAATGGCTCACTGATGATCGGTGGTTGTCCTAATGGAGCTTTCTCATCACCACGTCTTCTGGCGGTCTTTTGACATACGTTACAAGTACTACAATACTCTCGTATGTCCTTAAAAATCCCTGGCCAACAGAACGCATTAACGACACGCTCTTTGGTCTTTTCTATCCCTAAATGTCCCGCAAGTGGTCTATCATGTCCCAATTTAATGATATTGAGACGTAGTGCCTCTGGTAGTACTACCTGGACTCCATGTTGGGCTCCATCACTAGACTCCCATTTCCTACGGAGAATCCCATTTTCCCAGTACAGGGCATTCCTATCTTCCTGCACAGATTCCTCTGAACTTGCAGCTTTTCTCCGAATGTTGGCTAAAGTTGGATCTTCCTGCTGAAGCTTACTAAGCACTTCAGCATTTACAGCAGAAAGTTCAAGCGGTTCCTCTGTTGTGATGTTAACTGTATCATCCCCATTGCTGTGAGATACAGTCTCACTGATGTTGTCAATGTCCTCACCAACGCCATCGCCATGGTCCAGGTCCACATCGTTCGCCTGTCCAACATCACTTCCCTTACTGGCATCCACTTGGTCCGTGTCGGGGTCCATTCCAACTTTTACATGGCATTCCTTTGCCTTGTCCTCAGCTAGCCTTTCTTCAGCAATGTTATTACGATGTTGTGCACGCGTAACAACATTCACAGCCTTTGATTGTCTCTCTATGATGTCTACCCCAACAGGGCTTCAGCGACAAGGTCAGGCACTAATCCGACCTGAGCATGTCCCTTATAATATGGCGTGTCCATATCAACGATAGCCAGTTTGGCTGAAAACGGCTGTCCAGTCGCTGTATACAGCGTCTCCCGCTGACCCTCCAATACACAACTTGGGTCCACCAGGTCTTCCCTAATCAAGGTCATCGCTGACCCAGTGTCTTTCACGAAACTAATATCACGGCCATTGACCTCTCCTGGGACATGGATAAGTCCTCCCGTGTATTGTCGCACTAAAAATCCTGCAAGATTTTTACCTTCTCTGTTTTTTGGACATTTCCTCGCGAAGTGCCCGTACTTGTTACAATTGTAACACTGGGGCATTAAAACAAAATAAATCAATATTCAAAAATTAAATAATTTAAGGATAAGAATGAAATTGACACAGCTTCTTCATCATGTGACCATATTAACAGACAATTATTGATGCACTATACAGCTTAATTAAATTGTTAATATTGAAAGTTCAGATTACATTTCATAATCCATTTAACCATTCTTTTCTTAACACCTACCTTTCATTATTTGCAGCTCAGGACACATAAGACCCAAATTCTGTCTGATTGACCTGCAAGCTCTTTTTTATCACTTGCAATAAAGGGGTCAGTGATACATACACACAATATCAAGCTTAGCAGTACACATACTTGTATGTTTACACAACAACCTGATAAGGTTAACCTTGTGTCCACAATAGTGTATACGGAATGCGTTCTAATAATTGACCTTACTACCATTCTCACGATACAGAAACCTTTAGTCCACCAGCATATACCGGATACATTCTAATAATTAATTTTGCTCCCATTCTTAAACAAGAGGCCCAGGAGGCCTGTATTGCTCACCTGGATATTTAAATCAATAATGCAAAACTTTACATTTCATTAGAAGGAACATATTTCCCTTGATTAGCCACATCCCACAGACACAGCTTCAGCTAGGAATCAGTTGCTAATCTCTTGATATCCAGCAATGCTAATAAGTTATGGGATGGTATTCTCATTAGATTCACAGATATAATCAGTCCTGGGGTGTGACCAGACCCTGGGAAAAATTATCAGTTATGATTGTGTTAATCTCCTGATGCTCAGTAATGCTATATTTATTCAGTGGGGGATCACAACTGTTTCAAAAAACCAAAGATCCAAATAAATTGTTGATGGTGCAAAGCAATTATATGAAAATGAACTAAACTATTTGAGGTTTAGATTTTCCCTGCTGAGACCAATTTCCAACAATATCCCACAATTACTGAAGAACATAATAGATATTAAAGAAATTCATATATTTACCTCATTGAGCCCCATATTTCTAGCCCCAGGGAGCCCAGACCCACCACTTATACAAAACTGATTTTCCTTCACCCAAGCATGCTTCAGACAATATTTGGACAACCTCATGCAATTCAAAAAGAGCAAGATAAATTTTAAAGAAATTGATAGATTTTTTCTATTGGGCCCTGCCCCTCAGGCCACAGGGAGGCTCAGACCCATCATTTACAAAAAAATTGGTTCCCTTTTCCTCAAGGATGCTTCAGACAAAATTTGATTAAATCTCTGCAGTCGTTCATGAATTATTGCAGGTGAGCTAAAAACCTAGTCACCCTCTTGTCTATGATAGTGTATACCAAATACATTTCAGTAATTCATACTTCCATTTTCTCAACACAGGGTCAGCCTTGTGTCTATGATAGCGTAAATTCAAATTCACATTTTTACAACACAGAGTCAGCCTTATGTCTACGATTAAATTTGAATAATTCACCTTACTCCTATTCTCAACACACAGTTGTATATTTCAGAAAATGATACAGTGCAACTTCCCGAAACCAATCCTTCTCAAAACAAATCACCTCTTGAAACGGAATGATGTTCTCTTTATTATGGTAACAAGAGGCCCAAGGGCTTTAACAGTCACCTTAGTCACAATGCTTCTGGTAAAATGCCATAGATATAATTTTGTTAACTATAACTATATTGTACACATAATGCAAATGTAA